TCAACTCCTTAATGGGGACGTTTAACAAAAATCGAAAGGTTACTTATTGTTTAGAACAATATTCTGAACATATTTTGTTCAGTATTGCTTATCAAAATATTTCCCACTTTCGAGATATAGAGTGCCAAAGATTTGGCATTCTGACCCCTTATGGCCCCTTATTATGTAACATATGACATAAATATTATAATATGTAGTTGTAAATTGATAAGATAAACATTTTTGCTTCAGTAATGTTGCAACAATAGGTTGCAACCACTATTGAAATAACGTTCACTATTGAAATAAATATTTCAATAGTGGTTGAAAATGCATTTCAGAAGCAAACACGGGTTGCAACATAGGCGTTCGAGGTATTCTAATCCGACGCTGAGAAATCAGGATCATAGGAGAAGAACACATTGAAGTATGCATTTGGAGTTGAGACAACAAACCAAATTCATGATCTTTTAAGTTGCTATCATTTTCTAAAAATGCAGTAGGGTGAGTTCACCATGCATCGGACACTCTCGTACTTGAACAAGTTCTAGCGAAATCGCTACCGACTGAATATTATCAAAATGGAGCTGATCATTTAGTTTGTGATTGAAAGATGAATTTGTGACACTATTTTGTGATGTTTATTGAGAAAATGTCATTAAAAAAGATATTTTTTGGAATGAGCCAGAATTCACCATGGATCGGACGACATTCACCATGCATCGGACAATATTTTTGAACCGAAAAATTTCACATTTTTATCTCAGTGACTCTTAAAACACCTGAAATGCTTTTTAATTAGTGGCATAAAAATATTTTTTATGTTTGATTTAAAAATTCACTTTCTAGTTTAATTTGATTGAATATATCGATCCACAAAGGTGGAGAGATTTTAGTTGCATCACATCGCATTAGAAATGCCTTGCAATGCTTAGTGCTATGGCAACTTAAATTGCGCCTTTGTCTTGTGGGTTATCATCTCCTAGTTTGTAGAAATAAATTAAGCCCACTTCTAGTCGTTTTTTTAACAATTACTTCTATTTTCAGTGAATATTTAGAGTTTTTATTTTCTATTTCTATAAAAAAAAAAAAAACCAACTGTCAGTTGGGTTTATTCAAAAAGGAAGTGATTACCCATGCATTGGAAAGTGTCTGATGCATGGTATGAATTTGTGTCCGATGCATGGTGAATTGAACATACTAGTAAAAACACCTCTTATAAAATTTATACAAACAATGAAGTGAAATTTCTGAACAAATTCTTTAAAATTATCAATCATTGACAAAATGCAGCCGAGGCATGCGCAGACTCGTTACCTTGAAGTAAAGACAACTCTAAAAAATTGCAAAATCATAAAATTTTGGTTACTCCCCTTTGATGATGTAAAATATGACGTCACTTCTAGGCCATTATAGTAGTATTTTTATCACAACATGATAATAAATATCGGCATCTTTAAAAAAGTTTAAATGTTCGACTTTAAGACAAAAAATTCAACACACGGAAATAATTAGAGGTGGGATCAAGTGCCATGGAGGAGTGAGCATCCCCTGCCGACCGGTCACACCCGCCGTGTGCTCCTTGTCATGATCGGGAAATAACGAAAAAATCAGTTGACAATTCAGTGTGTAAAAAATGGACTAGCAACAAGTATGAAAAACTTCAGTCAGCATTTGACTTAATGATAAATTGTATTTGCTGACAAGGTCATTGTATCGACCATAGAACTTACGAAATGACGACTTTAAACGAGACTGCTGATATTCTTGTTTCATCAACTTGTTTGTCAATAACTTACCTCGTTTTGGAAAGTGTTCATATGTAGAGCATGCTCTTAATTGCGTATCGAATCAAATGAGAGATATAAACCCAATATGCAGGTGATGAGGGGTATATTGCTGCATAAGTAAAGGAAGTTGACGATTGAAAGATATATCGAATCAACGTTGGAATGAAAATGAATATTGTTAATTGATCCAATCGTCGATATATCTAAATGTTGAATGGAAGAGACGTCTTCTTTTCATGTGGAAGTTTTTTAAATAAATTCTGCTTTATATGAATACAAAAATAGGTCTGCTAATAAAGGGAGCAATTAGCACCCATGGGAATTCCAATGGATTGTTGAAAGACTTGATCTCCAATTATAAACTACGTACATAGATATTGTCAAACAGAAACTCAAGCATCTTTCAATATCAACTTCGGAGTACTTGTGTGTACAATCAGAATGTTTTTAACAAAATAATTTTGCAAATGACCGTGACAATATATGTAACCCATATTTTCAATTTCCTTTAATTTAGTTTTTGTCCGCACTGCAATTAATTGATTGAAACCACCTGGAAAAGGAAAAAGCCCGCGCCACGAAGCTAGAGAGCTTCAAAGCCAGAGAGCTCTTCAAAAATACCAGCTCGACTAAATCCGCCCTCCCCATCACATCATTTCTGTGACGTACCCACACAGATACAGATAATTATTGTTTTCATAAGTTCTTTTAAGAGGGATATGATAGAGTCTATACCTTATGTCGCAGTGATACAATGTCACATCGCAGTAGTAAAATAGTTTGTTGGGAAAAAAGTAGAAATAACTGTAAACTAGTAAACTAAGAAAATAACTGTAAACTAAATGAAAATGTCATTGTCTGAGAGCTGTTTCAATATTTTTATACGGTCTCCCTTTGTGTGCCATAAACAAATTCAAATGAAAAAGGTGAAGATAACGAACATCGACTGATCTCCAAACAAAAAAAAAAACACCCCAAAAAAAACCCAAAACAAAACAATGCAAATCGGTGGGTAAACAGGGCATTAAACACGCCCCCATAAATTTCAGAGGTAGGATCAAGTGCTTAGGAGAAGTAAGCATCCCAAGTAGAACGGACAAACCCGCCTTGGACCTTGTATAGATAGTTTTCCATCGAAGCAATTTAAGCAAGATTTCTTTCCCCATGGCCGCAATATTGTAGGTCTCTATACCCAGATTCCTTCAATATTCAACCAAATTAAATTTGTTATACTGTGCACACTGAGGTGAAGATGCACAATTTTAATTTTGCAAAGATTTTTTTTCCATATATTTCGGCCATATATGTTTAAAATTGGTTATTCAAGGAGGAAAATTCACTGATGGCGGTCGAGAATAACTCCGAGGCAAAATACGTCATAGGAAAAATATCTATTGATCAGGTAGATGGAAGATTTCGTAGAAAAAGTGAGTATAAAAACAAAGGCCTAACAATTGGTATGAAATATTTTAGTCAAAATACAACCCAATTTACGAAATGCTGACTTTAAACAAGGTTGTTGAAATCCCTGTAACATCAACTTATCTGTCAGTAGCCTGCCTCGATTTAAGAATTGATCATACTCAGAGCATGCTCTTGAGTATCGAATAAGTTGTAAACACCTTATGCAGGTGATAGCGGAATATTCATAAATAAGAAAGCTGACACTGGAAAAGCTGTAGTCATCATCGTTTGTCATACAGTTTAGTTGTTAGCTGGCCCTTATAGTCAGTAAAACATCCAAAAACTGGGATACATCGAGTCGACATATCAATGGAAGTAATTATTGTTAATTGATAAAACGTCGTCGATTTAACTGATTGTCGAGTTGAAGGCCATAGCAATTCTTTTCATGTAGAAGTTTTTGCATAAATTCTGCTTCATAGGATCAGCTATAATAAAGGAACACATTTAGTGCCCATAGAAATTCCGACTGTTATTTGGGAAGACCTGGTCTCCAAATACTACATGGATGTTGTCAATGAGGAACTACAGCATCCTTTTAATATCAACTTCTTTGTACTTGTGTGTAGGATCAGAGTGATTTTAAGAAAGTAATTTTGTTGATGACTAATCACAAGATAATAAAATTTCCGAGTTCCTTTTTTATTGAAGAAGCAGTTATCTATGATATCAAAAAGCCTAATTTTTAATTTATCGTGAGGAATGGTAACATTTGTATAAAGTGTATAGAAAAGTCATACATTTTTATGTTACTGGTTTTTTGATGTTTTGGCTTAATTTTGGTAGAGCATTTGCTGAACCCGGCAATGTATCTTTATTTGTAAGGATTTTATGAAGTTTAGGAATCCAGTATAGGTAGGGTAGATCGATCTCACATTCGTTGAATGGAATATTAAAAGTATTAAATGCTGAAATGTGATTTTGAAAAATTTCATCTTTAGAAGGTGTACTATGAGTATAAGCTGGATTTCCTGATGTAGAATTAAAACCAAGTTTTTCTAAGATACAGTTATAATACTGTGCCTTACAAACAAAGACTAATATTGTTACAAGCTAAATGTCTCCTGGAACCATAACATAATTCTTTCTAATTCCTTTATCACCTCCGATTTAAATGGTGAAAATGGAAGGCGTGTTGCCTTTTAACTTCCTAACACGATTCTTATATATATTATATTTCTAAAACACTATTAATCCTTTCCGACAAAGTGGTCAGGTCTTCTTCATATTTCGCCCAACTTTTGGCATAATCTTCGACAGAATTCATAATAGAAATGAAGTTCTGTCGCCAAATGAAAGTTGGGGCGCCCTGTATTTAGGACCTTTTAAAATGATTGCTTTTAGGTCGTCATTTTCAACTTTATATATTGACATCACCAGTATATTAATGACGTGTCCAGCGGGACCATAGTTGAAAAAAAAAAGGCTTGAGAGGATTAAATTATTTTAGATATTCAATACCTATGCACTGTAAACTTTATGTATAATTGAAAAGTTTGGAAGCAACAGTTTGGAAATACATGGGTTTAGATTTCAACTTGAAATATGGTGGAATGCAAGACTTTTTTTTATGATTAAGAATGTTACTAATGTTCACAGTATCTATTCCTTTGTTTTGTTTTTAGCAAAGTCAGTCAAAGAATAAAAGTGTTTTGTATTTTTGTGTGTTTTTCAAAAATATTCATGAAGTTTAAACAATCATTAGTCGATTTAGGTCCTGACGAAATATATTCCAAAAATATCCGGCTGTAATAATTTTCGCTATTCATAACCGACTTCATCGAGTTCCACGTTTGTAAGATGGCGACAAGGGTAAGAAATCTGTCAACAAATCCCGGTAGAGTGTTGTACAACGAAAATTAAAGTTATTAGCAAAGTATTTTATGTCTGCATATACTTGTCATCAAATATATGTGCCATTCACATATGATAAGGGACAGTTTTGTTTTGCCTTAGTGGTTAATTAGTGATGTTTGCAAAAAAAAAAAGCTAAGTAGGTACACGACGCCCTGAGTGACAAACCATTATCACATGCCAATGACAGAGTTAATGATTGAACAGATGTTTTACAAGTGAAAGTATTGATTGCAAGGTCTCGTTGTCAAAAACAGAGGGTGTACATGAAACTAACAATAAACAGATCCGGTACAGTCACAACGTTTAGTATGTAGTTAAATTACCTACATGGCTTAGATTATAGTTTCTTGAAGTAGTTACTAAGTCATACTTATTTCTTAAATAAACTTTTCAGTATATATGAAAAATCACACTTTGATGCAGTCACAGAGAGTTCCGAATGTCAACATGGCGTGTAAATTTGAAGCGAGGAAAAACATCGAGAAAATGAGTTGAATTTTAGTATTTTTATGGATTATTTTTTAGGTTAAAAGGCATATTGCAATCTCAGAAAGGTTTGTTATGAATAATTAGGTAGTTATCAAGGCTAGAAATAATTACTTTTTTCACTGGTCACTCGGGCTATAAACTTAAAATTTTACTGGTCAATCGATAACTTTCACTGTCCCACTGGACTAGTAGGTATGGAAAAGACTGGCCCAAAACCAGTGCTTAAACAAGGGCAAGCTAGGCGGAGCAAAAGATCACATCAATCCCAATATAAATTATTGCTTGTGTAACTTCCGATAAGCATGCACTCACCCACTCATGCACACAGGGGCGTTACTTTATCCACTCCAACTCTGCTGTGAGGGGATAAAAATCAGACTACGGTATATTCAACGTAACCGTGAGTTTATTTTCTGATTTTAAAAACCAACAGTTAAAAGAAATTATATTTCTTCACCATTAAATCTTGATTCTTAATCAACTCTAGTAGTGCCACTTTCAGATTCTGCATAGCCCTTGTTTACTGCACATATTTCTTGTTTTTATAATACATCGTTAACTTGTTCCACCAAGGTGAAACAGCATTTAGAAAACATTACAATGTTTAAGAATATACTCCTCAGGAAAATTGTTCTTAGAAATATGCATGATATTGAATTTATATTGCGTTATTTCATAGTACTGTTACAACCTAACAAAAGAAGGAATTGTTCGCATCCAAATAGAACCTGGACGCACTAACCTTTCTAGTTAACTAGCCTGAATGTGAATTGATTTTGATATACATAAAATAATCACTGGCCCCAAGGACACATACGTTCTACAAAGCACTAGCCCAAATCCAAAATTTACTGGGCCCAGACCAGCAGGCCATCAATTATTTTGAGCCCTGGTTATTTTCAGTGCAACTTTTGTATTCTTCAAAATCATTTCGGAGAGGATCCGCTCCAATTTGCTACATTGCAAGTATGTGGGACGTATTCCAACTGTGGTGAGGACTTGTCCCGAGACACAGTTAGATTATTTTAACTAATAAATATGTATGTACCTTATTGGTATGTAAAAAAAGTAAAGGTATGCAAGCTCTGTAATGGCGTCTGCTCAACTCGCTCATTTACATGGCTTGTTCTTTAAAAATAAGGCTGCACCTACCAATCTTTATGCACCAGACATCTCAGAACATTGATTACTTATTGTAAAAATTCTCACATCTTGCAAGTAATTCCTAAAACGCGATTTTTAACACTTCATCAAACTTTCTATTAACGTGCCTGGAACCAAGTGCAAATACTAAAATCTGATTCAAAACGACAATATCCGGCCAGTCAGACAGTTCTAAATTCTAGAGGCATTGTGAGAAATTTAAAATAAAAATGGTTCTGAGATATTTCATTGAATTAGAAATTTTAAAAGCAGAACACACAAAAATACTCCCTCATGTCATTTCCTGTATGCAGTACAGTCATGCACCCTATCACTTTTATCACTGTCAATCCTAGACCTGTAAGTTTGAGGAGAATAAAAAATACACCTGTTTACATTTTCTTGCAGAATATGGTTTCACAGCTGCTCTTGTTCCTGTCCTTTCTAAACCTTTGCTCTGGATTCTATGTACCTGGAGTGGCACCAAAGGAATTTAAGAAAAATGATCTTGTGGAGGTCAAGGTAAGTAAGCATAGATTAAGCATTAGCTAGAGTCATATTTAAGAATTTTAATGAAAATTGTAAGCTCTGTCAGACTTGATGGTAACCTTTAAATCCATTCCCAGCATGCACGAAACTAAGAATTATTCATTAAAAAGCCAACAACACATCATAGATGTTACCGAAAGTGAAGTTTAGTATCTATTAATTTAACATTAATGTTTTGATCATGTTCAGAACAGATTAAGCTGGGTGACAATTTTACTAATCTGTTTGCTTATTTACATTTCAGGCAGTAAAGATGACTAGCACCAAGACTCAGCTTCCGTATGAATATTATTCTCTCAGATTCTGTGAGCCAAAAGGAGGAAAAGAATATAAAGTTGAAAATTTGGGTATGTGTTTGAGCTGATGTTTGATCAACAAAGGAAATCAAGGGACAAAAAACAGCAATGAACAGTAATAATGAGGCATAAATAAATGCCTCAATTATTGTTTTTTGTTTATTATTTGAATTTCTATTTCTTTGAAAAATAACTTCAGTTTAATGATTTGAACTTGCATGCAAATTCTTAATATAACCTAAAATAACTTCAGTTTAATGATCTGAATTTGCATGAAAATTCTTAATATTCAATGACAAACACATTCTTTATAACTGTACACAAAACACCTATGTTTTATATGTACATGTATATATACATATATATCAAACTACATTGTTAATGTCAATTTTGAAATTCTTTTGAAGGTGAAGTACTAAGAGGAGACAGAATTGTCAATACTCCATATGAGGTTTGTTTTGTTGTACAATTATTTCTTCTTTTGTATCCTTATTGCATATCATCAATACTCTGATCTGATTCAAACATGACTCTTAAATTATTTTTAAAACACATTTCAGATAAGAATGGCTATAAACATGGCATGTAGAGTTTTATGTGACAAAATTAAGCTCACTGCCAAAGAATCAGCATTGATGGCAGAAAGAATTAAAAAGAACTACTATGTTCATTTGTAAGTTGTCCTTTTATAGAATTTGTATTCATAGTTTCATAAATTCTTTGTTTGTAAGTTGTTTTCTTAATCATTGTCTCTTTGAAAATTATCTTCTTCACACTGATCATCTGCCCTACTGGGAAATTAGCATACCTGTTTTAGACTTGATTGTAATGATTAAGAAATCCTCTTCCTCTGTTAAGTTCATGTCGCATGAGTCTGGATTTCTGATACCAAAAGGGATTAAGATGGTCATACAGAGAAAAAAAAATATACATATAATGATATGAATAAAGTAAGCACCATGGTATAATTCATAAAACTTATCATTAATCAATTGTAGGATTGTGGATAATTTACCTTGTGCTACACAGTTTAAGATGATGGATTCAGATGAAGTCCAATATGAGCATGGTTATAAACTTGGATTTGTCAAAGATGGAAAAGTAAGAAATTATGAGAAATATTCACACTTGTCATATTCATATTTTTGTGAAACAGTATAATTGCTCTTTATTTAGTGCATGCACATTTATTTACCTATTGTAGATGATCGTAATGTGTAAATACTAATTTTTTTTTCTAATTTTAGGTTTATCTGAACAACCACTTAAAGATGCATCTGAAATTTCACACTGATGACAAGTAAGTCACTTTGATTATAGCAATACATGTATATAAAGAGTCTTTATTGCATTAAGGACAAAATTTAGAGCTCATAAACATTAATAAAGAAGAGAATCTAGTGACTCAATAGAATATCTGCATCAGAGTTACTTTACCTTTAATAATCATTCAGTGTGCATTCTAGATGCTTGTCTTTTTTTACACAGTGAAGACTACAGAGTCGTGGGATTTGAAGTTGAGGCAAAAAGGTAAGTTTGTCAGTCCTTCTAGATTTTTTCCACATTTATGCTGGGGCATCTTATAACTTAACAATTTTTCTGACTTGGACCATTCAGCAGTTTTGGTTAAATTTTTTTTTGCAAATTAAGGAAGCTTTAAACACTACTCATTGGGGGGGGGGGGGGGGGGGGTCTGTTAAATGTAATTGCAGCAATTTTCAGAGGCTGGACATAGATTTGAATTAAATGTTTTCTTGTTAGTTTGACAAGCTGTACCTTGTTCACCATTTACTACATTTTTTTTTTTTTAGTGTCCAGTACGGAGAATTAAACACAGATGCTGATGGAAAATGTGACTACAAAAACAAGAAACCTGGTAGTGTTGTTCAGCTTCAGGAACTGAAAGAAGGTACAGTCTAATACAGACATTTATTTAATCAAACATTGAGTATTATAACCTTTAAGCCACATCTTCATAAGCCAAGGGTTTCTGATCTGCTATACTCCTCACAAACCCTATGTCTATCATGCTATCAAAGGCTGGGATTTGAGTACCATATGTACTCGCCTAAAAGTCGTTTTTTTGGGAGTTAAACTTTGGTCCAAAACTCTTTATCCGACTTATATGCGAGTTATAAAAAGATTGGTATTTTAATGGGTCAATCCCTCTAATTTAAGCTTTAAAAATTACAACCGACTTATAGGCAAGTATATACGGTATTGGTTGCCTACATTTATTATATGACAGCATTTTGAATTACTCATACTAAAGCTTCTTTATAAATTTAATTCTTTTAAAAGCACTTTAACTACTTACATTTTCACTCAGACAGTCGGTGCTAAATTTTTATGCCCCCGGATCGAAAGATCCCGGGGGTATATTGTTTTTGTCCTGTCTGTCTGTTTGTCTGTTTGTTTGTCTGTTTGTCCGTTTGTCCGTTTGTCTGTTTGTCTGTCTGTCTGTTGTCAACTTTAACCTTGCCCATAACTTTTGATTGGTTGGAGCTATGACTTTCATATTTCACATGTGTATTCCTTGTGACAAGACCTTTCTTTGGGTACCATCATATTTGACCTTTTGACCTTGACCTTGGAGTTTGACCCACTTTTGCAAAATTTTATGAGACTTTAACCTTGGCCATAACTTCTGAACAGTTGGAGCTTGGGGTTTCAAACTTCACATGTGTATTCTTTGTGACAAGGCCTTCTTTTGGATACCAACCACTTTGACCTTTTGACCTTGACCTTGGACTTTGACCTACTTTTGAAAAACTTTAACCTTGGCCATAACTTTTGAACAGTTGGTGCTTAGGGTTTCATACTTCACATGTGTATTCCTTGTGACAAGACCTTCCTCTGGATATCAACCACTTTGACCCTTTTGACCTTGACCTAGGAGTTTGACCTACTTTTGAAAAACTTTAACCTTGGCCATAACTTTTGAATGGTTGATGCTAGGGCTTTCATACTTCACATATGTAATCCTTGTGACAAGACCTTCCTTTGGATACCAACCACTTTGACCCTTTGACCTTGACCTAGGAGTTTGACCTACTTTTGAAAAACTTTAACCTTGGCCATAACTTTTGAATGGTTGATGCTAGGGCTTTCATACTTCACATATGTAATCCTTGTGACAAGACCTTCCTTTGGATACCAACCACTTTGACCCTTTGACCTTGACCTAGGAGTTTGACCTACTTTTGAAAAACTTTAACCTTGGCCATAACTTTTGAATGGTTGGTGCTAGGGCTTTCATACTTCACATATGTAATCCTCGTGACGAGATCTTCCTTTGGATACCAACCACTTTGACCTTGACCTTGACGTTTGACTTTAATTTCAAAAACTTTAACCTTCACCATAACTTTTGAACAGTTGTATCTAGGTCTTTCAAATTCCACAGGTGTTTTCCTCGAGACAAGATCTTTCTTTGGGTATCAACATTTTTTATCTTTTGGCCTGGATTTTGACTTGCATTTGAGAAACTTTAACCTTCGACATAAGCTGCCATACGGGGGCATAGTGTTTCACAAACACATCTTGTTTTTCATTTTTTACAGGAGAAAATGAGATTCTCTATACATATGACGTCACCTGGGAGAACAGTGACATTCGTTGGGCATCCAGATGGGATATATACCTGGCCATGAGTGACGTACAGATTCATTGGTTTTCTATCATCAACTCGGTTGTGGTTGTCATATTTCTCTCAGGTATGAAGCTAAAATTTTAATTGTGAGTTTTAACTGAATGACATGTAACTTTGGGATTTTTTGCTTTTGTGCATACCTAAATTTGATAAGGTGCAACTTTTGCAAATTAATAAAATTGTACTATCAATTATTTTTATTATCTATTGAATATTAAAGTTTATATAAAATTAATAATCAGTAATCATATTTAGATCCAAGATAAAAGCTAGTGTGACTTAAGAAAAAAAAAATTAGTAATTGTTTCGTTTATTTGAGGATTAAAAAAAATTAATCACGTGTATGTGGAAGTAGGAATTGAGTTTCAAATGCACAAAATTTTGTTTGCTTCTTAAATGTGTTTTATGAAGTCAGATTTTTTTCTCAGGTATATTAACCATGATTATGGTCAGAACTTTGAGAAAGGATATTGCTCGATACAACAGAGACGATGATATAGTAAGTGGTCATGAAAATAATCCATTTTGAATTACTTTTTCTTGTTTGATCTCATTTCTACAATTTAGCATCGCCCCATTCAAAAATACATATATCATACTTTGTATTAAATGGAGGCAAAGAGACATTGTTGTTCTAAAATTTGTTTGTTGATGAAGACGGTTATTTTATTGAACATATGCTGTAATATAAATTCCAAAAGTTTTATACATGTACCTAAATGATATCCATTATCATTTCATTAATGCAGTAGCATTCAGCAAACCTGGCTCCTTATTTCAATATGTTGTATAAGAACTCTTTTTAAAAAAAATTTTGCTGTTAGATTCATATGATACTTGGATTGATGCTAAATAAGTCTGTACTTCTGTTAAATATGGTGTGTGTTTTAGAAGAAAATTAATCTTTGATTTCAATTTATTTTGTCTCGCTAATGTAAAAACTGCATTGTCATTTAGGAGGAGACTTTAGAGGAGACAGGTTGGAAACTGGTTCATGGTGACGTCTTCAGACCCCCCAAATACACCCGGACTCTGGCCTCTTTAGTGGGAGCAGGGATGCAGATATTCTGCATGGCTCTTATCACTATATGTAAGATTTTTATCATACTTACAGGTGAAAGCCACTCACTTTTATCAAAAGAGTTTCAGGGTGAAGATGTCGTGCCTGTTTATGATGCAGAGTGTATTAATTCATTTACCATGAAATTTAAATAAAGATTGTACACACAGTATACATCTGGGAAAAAAATCATTGTATCAATTTGATTTATTAAATAAACAGGTTTGTTTTAAAAACAAATTTCAACCAATCAAATTTGAGTGGAATTATTCTCTTTGACAGTCTTTGCCATGCTAGGAATGTTGTCCCCCGCCTCTCGCGGAGCTCTGATGACAGCAGCTATCTTCCTCTTTGTTTTTATGGGGTATGTTGATCAATCGTACAGTGTACATACTGGAACTTTGTTGTTGTTGTTGGATTTCTAAATCATATTGACACATGTGTCATCTAGATAGATAAACATGTAGATAATTTTATAAAAGACCCACATTAAAACTTTCTTAGTTTGCTAATCTCTCTCTCCTTTTCATTGTTGGTTTGTTAGCTATGCATCTGTTTTGGAACAGAAGAGTTTACTTCAAAATTTTGGGTTGCCAAGAGGAACAAATTTTTGAAATAGGCTACTATATATTGCAAAGAATTATTTCTCCCCTTTCAGTATCTAAACAAGAGTATCGTGAATATTCATGTACATGTACTTGATGTTTGTCTGATTATAATTTTAAGTTTTGCATACTCTGCAAATAAACTAATTATCAGGCCAGGGTCATAAGAAACTTTTCATTTTGTTTTAATAGAATCTTTGCTGGATATGTATCTGGTAGAATTTACAAGACAATGAAAGGACAACAGTGGAAAAAAGCTGCTTTCCAGGTTAGAGTCTCATACCTCAGAGATTTTCCTTTTTACTATTTCACTATTCTATATATAAAAAAATTGTAAAAGAAAAAAATGAACCACTGTCCTTTTAGAAAATATATATCTTATTAAAAGTCATTTGTCATCATACCATGTACAGTTGGCTAAACATGCATTCCTGTTGTTTACAGACAGCGACTCTATATCCTGGTGTTATGTTTGGAACAGTATTTGTTCTCAACTTCTTCATCTGGGGAAAACATTCATCTGGGGCAGTAAGTTTTCCTTCATTTTTATATTAATTGTGTGTTTTTTTTATACATGTCTTGACTTGTCATTGTGTTTAATATTCATAATACTTGTATATAAACACCTATGCTCTTCAATTTCAGCTACCATTTACCACAATGTTAGCCTTACTATGTATGTGGTTTGGTATCTCTGTACCGCTTGTTTTCTTGGGGTATTACTTTGGATACAGAAAACAGGTCAGTACCTCCTACATTGCAGTGTGCTTAAATAAATGTTCCTCTATTTATTTACAGTTCACATTGAAAATGAGTCCTCTACAAATATAATGTTAAATTCTTCAGTAATTCTTCATTTATTTCATTATTTCCTCTCAAGATGTCAAGTTTGATATATATATATATATATATACTGATAAACACAAATTGTGAATAAGGTAAAAATATGTAAAGCTCTGTGGGGGAAAAAAAAATTATTAAAGGAAAAAAAAAGTGTTGCTATTGAATATTTCAGCCCTATGAACACCCAGTAAGAACAAATCAAATACCAAGACAGGTTCCTGAACAGATGTGGTACATGAGTCCTGTTCTAGGGTAAGATTGGTCAAGAAATTCTGAAGGTCAGATGTCATTTGTGAAGTCCAAGTTTATCAGGTGTGTAAGAAATTGCTTTTCTTTTTGCAGGGTCATCATGTCTGGCATCTTGCCTTTTGGAGCAATGTTTATAGAATTGTTCTTTGTTTTTACTGTAAGTATAATATCAAATTTATTTAGTGGACCTCTGATATACTGTAACTCTTTTATGATTTTAAAATGTCTGTTGTATCCAATACCTGTATATCTGGAAGTATACCATGTACATGTAGCTTCAGTTCCAAAAGTAGTAATATTACTTTTATTATTTTGAAGTTGTATATACATGTATGGATCTCTCTGAGGAATATTTTCATATTCATTAGCACACACCACAGCCATTCATCTAATGAGGCAACCTCAATGTCTAGACAGGGCAAGTGTGGTCTTGGATCTTTTGAATAAAATAGAAATAAAAGACCACTAAAATAATCAAACAATAATGCACACTTTTTATATGGTTCTCTCTACAGTTTTTTTAAATGGCATAATACACATGTATTTAGGGGAAAGCACATTTTTTACCCATATAACAAGCTGATAATTGCAAAAGAAAAAGTTTGTTGAATAAGTCACTCTAAAAAATTTATACCAAAGATAGGTCACTGTCAACAGCATGAATGCAAAAAAAAAATGCATTTTCCTCCCACAATTAATTGACCATTTTAATTAAAAGAAATAAGCATGACCATGGAGTAGTAAGTAAATTTAAAAAAAATTATGAATAATTTTTAAAAGGCAACTATCTTTACATATTTGGAAAAGACCTAAATACACATTATGCATGTACATTGTACATGTATACATGGAATCTGCTACACAAAAATTGAATTTTAGAGATACATGTATTGGTTATTATGATTATTTAATATATAATAGAGCTTGTTTGTAATGATGGTGTTTGACAAATAACATACATATATTTGTACACATATTATACTAAGCAAAATCACAATTGTATATAAAAGAATGAAAAAGTAAGTCTTCATAGCTAAAATAAAACAAACCATTTATAAAGAAGATAACATCATCTATAAAAAAGCAGTCTATTGCTATTATATATATATGGTTCATACATTGTATGCTCTTGCCTCTTGTGTTGTGTTTGATATTGTTCTTGTATTTTCTCTCTGTTTTTTTTTTCACATAATGTGAGAATGAATTGAATTGTTTGGCTTAATTTTTTCAGGCAATTTGGGAGAACCAGTTTTATTATTTGTTTGGTTTTCTCTTCCTTGTGTTCATCATTCTGGTCATCTCGGTGTCCCAGATCTCTATTGTGATGGTGTACTTCCAGCTCTGTGGTGAGGTAAGATTATAGTTTTCAGTACTCGATCAGATATGAAGTGATTGTACAGATTCATTTCAGTTTATAAATTTCTTGTACTGCTTTTACATGTTTGCATTGTTGTATTGCTTTTACACATGAACATTTTCTTGTGTAATCTCTTTGAAACAATTCAGTTTTGTGCTTTCTATATCATACATGTATGACAAAGATTTATTATCAAAATTTAATTGTCTTCCTCCAGGATTACCACTGGTGGTGGAGGTCATTTATAGTGTCTGGAGGATCTGCAGTCTATGTATTTGCCTACTCTATATTTTACTTTGTAACAAAGGTAAGGGAAAAAAATGTTTTCTCTAGCATCCATTTTGATGACTCCATTTCATAGGAAGTTTCATCGTTAATGGCACGAGACTAAAGTAATTTCTGAATTTGCCTTAAAATTTCAAGTAAAAGTTCTCTCTTGTTTTAAAAATGATTCCTCAAAGTCAATGTTTATTATTTTGATAACACTACCATATTGAAATACCACAAACAAATCAATACATGTTTACTGATTTTTATATTTTTTCTTACCATTTTTTTAATATTACTTTTTTGGTATTAATACAAAATATTTTTCCTATTTTTAGTTGGAGATCACAGAATTCATTCCCACCCTATTGTATTTTGGCTACACTTTGTTGATGGTCTTCACTTTCTGGATTTTAACAGGGACCATCGGATTCTACGCCGCTTATTTCTTCATCAGAAAAATATATGGGGCTATCAAAATAGACTGATTTTACTTGTGCTTAGTTTAAATTATTTTCAATTCTGGTACAAGTTGTATTGCTCTCACTTGATACAGAAGACCACACTTGATAAGCTCCACAACTGTCATGAACAAGAATTACGTGTGGATAGTAAATAACAAATGACAGAAACACCAAAATGTGAGGTGTTTCATAAATAAAAAAAAGAGAAGAGTATGATATCATATCTGTTTATGTATATGCCTATGAGTTTGTTCATCTATTAGTTGTATGTGTACACAAATAACTGTTTTGTTTATAAGTCTATGGAACTTAGTTCAAATTTCTTTGAGTTGGTGTATATATGAATTCCAAACACATTATATAGGTTTGGATAAGAGGGAAAATATTTATCATTGTTGCATCTTAGAATTTGTAAAGTTAACACATGTGATTCATTCAATCAGATGAATGTTTTCATTCTTTTGGGTGTACATTTATTTGAGGGGATCAGAATGATTGCAAAGTATGGATGTGTCTCAATTTTTCAAATGTTGAAGAATGTGTGAGAAATATTTGTTTCTGTGGCAAAAATGACCTGAATTGGAAAACATGATATTTATTGTAAAGCATTGTGATGACAGAGAGAATGGTATGTAAATCAATGTTTTCTTATATGCACAAAGAGTGCAAAAGTGTGATCTGTAAGTTGTATTTATTTTATGTTAATCATGACTTCAGAGTAGAATCTTTAAAAAGAACATTGAAAAATATGCATTTTACTAAATTGAAATCTGAATGTTTGTGTACATGTACTTCAAATCCTTAGTTAATATTTTTTTAACGTTAGATTTTTATTTTCCTTCAAATGCATAACATGGTAGTCACAATAAATGATGCATGTATTTAAAATAAATATTATAATTACAAGTTATTTATACATTCCGAAATCTAAATTTTAATCTCGCATTAATTATGTATATATATATATATAGCACCCCTTATGGAAGGAATCCAATCACACTTTTATCACTACTAAAGATTGTAATGGAGAATGTTTCTTGCTCTATAAGGTGTATTCGCCATTGTGATTTTAAATAGGTACAGTGGTTGAATTCCCTGAGAGTTTATGCATCTTTGATGTACATATGTGTAAACAAGGTAGATTCTATGAATGTTCTTTGTTGAAATGCTGTACATTAAGTTTGACTGTTACAATTGATAGGAATCTGACAAGTCGGTCTAACATAATTATACATAATAATTATTATAATATTTACTTTCCGTGATTAAGTGACTGAATGTTTTAAAATGCTTTCATTTATCATATGAAATAAATGAGTGTAAAGAAAAGATTTAAGTTGTCTTCTTTTTAACAAGGCAGGCTACTGACAAAAGAGTTGATGATACAAGGGTAACAACAATCTCATTTAAATTCAACATTTTAGCAAATTGTCGATACAATGACTTTGTTTGGAAATCAATCTGTTGTTAGGGAGAATGTTGACATTTTTCCAACAGATAGTAAAACTATTGTTTTCAGATCAAATTGTCTACAGATTCCTCCTTCTGTTGGATCATGGCAAGGGACTCAATCATGGTCAGTGTGACCAGTTGACAGGGGATGCTTATCCATGGTAACTAATCCCACCTTTGATACTCTCAGAAGATGTAGATTGAATGGCCTCAAAGAGCTAGGTTCACTTTATGCATAAAATGGCCCTGTAGATATACCAATTGATTGACTAACACTTTACGTTCCATTTTAAACATCAAGATAAAGTAGAGACTTAGTGCTTTCATTTCCTATTAAAAATTTTCTTCTTAAAGCCAAGGTCTTGGAAAACAGGCTTCATGGAATTGCAATGTTCTTGAATTTTAAGGAAAACAAGTATATTTGAGTACTTTCACAGAAGAGAAATAATATGAGCGCACCCTCTGATCTAAAAAATAAAACATGTTTTGTAATCCTCAGAAATAGTTCTATCATTTAATAATTGCATATTTTAGATCAGAGGTTGCGCTCTATATTAAATATCGAAAAAATAGCTTTAAAGATTAACTGTCTTTGTAGAATTTTTCAGGATATGAGGAAAATGACACATTTCATGATGTCATAATGCAATGACTAGCCAGAAAATTACGTCATTTTTGATAGATGCATAGTCACCAAAGGTCTAAATGATATTTAATGCATTGTTATCTAAAACCAAGCAGTTTCAGTTTTTCTGAAATTCACAGGGCCAAAAAAGGCCCTAAGTGAACCTTGTTCTTTGAATTTAGAATTATAATGGTACACTGTATATTTAGGTGAAGCAAGATTTATGGTTATCACTGTCAGATGATCAGTTGCTCTCTGTCAGCAGTACCTTCATTTGCAAAGCTGCTGATTTTGACAATGATTTCTATAAGCATTGAGACCCCCCCCCCCCCCCCCCCAAAAAAAAAAGGGAAAAAAGGGCATTCTAAATTAAATCAAAATGAAAAATCCCGACACTTTTAATACTTTTGCTTCTTGTACATCTTATTAACAGAACTTACAGTTTTTCAAACGTTTTTACCATCGTTTCCCCATAGATCACATTTATGTCCGGAAATATCCGGAAAAAACTTAATGATTAATATTAGACAAGGACTGTTCCATTAAGAGGACTTTGTTAAACAGGAGTGCCTCAGTGAACGTTTATTTTATAGGAAAATGTTTATATCAGAGAATTTTTTGTTGATTTATGAAGGATAAATATGATGATAATAAGGATGCCAATATCTACAACAAACACCATGCACCAACAAGGAGGAGGAACCTGTTATACCCTGCACTTCTTCATGCGCTTTCCACTTCCGGATCCTTTTGCATCGGCCACGCGTGTTGAGAAGAAGCGACTGGCTCACCTCTGTTCAGAGAACCTTAAGTTTTCTTTGATTAAGTCGGCCAGGATTTACAGATATGGTAATTGATTAGTTTTTTTTTCAATCTACCTTTAAAATCATTTATTTTTTCATCTTCTGCAGTTGAGTACTGTAAAGGACATCACAATGCTTTGGGGAAAAGGGGGGGGGGGTGTTAAAGAGATGATTATGTTATCGTTAGTACCTTTTTCCTTCACAGACTAAGTGATACACTGAAATATTTATAATGACATGATGAAGTTATTGTAAAAAGTTCACAAAGTTGTAGACAGGTAGACTACAATTTAAAACAAAATTACACTTTTACTAGAGTAAAAATAGTAACTCATTTTTTACAGTCCCACTTTAAAGACTCCAAAGCCCCACAGGAGGAAGCTCCCATTCACAGAATCCGTATCACATTGACCAGCAGGAATGTCAAAAGTTTGGAGAAGGGTAAGATAAATTAGATTTTGTAGGATATTGCAATAGGACTTGTTGACAGTACATAGATCGTATATTTATTCCACCGCTCAAATGAGAGGTGCCCTTCTTGCATTGTTTAACAATGTGTTAGCAATGTAGCAAGGTGAAAGATGGCTGGGGCTCTCGATTGTGTGTATGGGAGTCCTATTCCCAATACAAAACTTCCCTAATTTTAATGGACATGGCCCCTGTATTAAAAAATGGTGAGAAATTCTTCGGGCAGATAACTCAAATCTAATTGTGTCAGTCTACAAAATTATGAGAACAAAATATTGCACGACAAAATGCATGGTAATAAGATACATTTTTGCAGACCTAGCATTTTTTTCCCCAAACTAAGCTCTAAAGTTCCTACTAAAATTCAGATGTTTATTCATAGGTTTCTTCTGAATATTGGTGCAGTGAATTTTACAAACCTTTGTGCAGATTACAGGTGACTCTCAATCTCTCGAGGTTCAAGGGGCCGTAAGAAAAGTTCGAGAGATCGGGGAGTTCGAGAGATAGAAAGTGAATAAAATTCGGATTTTTTTTAGTTCTGATCATCATTGTTTTACTAATATACATACCGGAAGTATATGTTGATAATGACATTGCACGTTTTCATTCGTATTTTACAGGTAATTCACTTGTTTTCAACAACAATGATCGTATTTTGAATAAATAAAATGATTTTTTTGAGTTTCAATATCAGTCTATGCGAAAGTCACCGGACCGTCGGTTTTTACCGGTAAAATTTGGTTCGGGTCGGTAAAAAAAATTCAGGATACAGGACCAAATGTCCGATGAAAAAATAAGGCCTAAAATTCTGAATTTACATGTTCATATGGTCTTATTTTCCACACATATCCTTTATTCGATCCATTTAGCAGTAATGCATGATTAATTTTAATCTATATCAAACCTGTCATGATCGGTTATTTCTAATTCGAATTTCCTCTGTCATGGATTATAGATCTATGGATAGCTCATAGGTAGATTCGGTTGGGTAAATTTTTTTCATTATTAAACAAGAGTAACTATTATGAGTTACTTCAGGAAATAAATAAATATATTTTAAAGTACATTTTAAGTTTAAGAAAAAAATCTTTGACACTGTATATTTCGTTTGTATGTGTCAAATAACCAGAAAAAGAGAAAATTGTATGCATTTGTCATATGTACTACCTTTTAAAAAGGAAACAATAATAAATGCGTTCATTTCAATAAAATCATTTTTTTTAATAATCATTTAAGGTTCAATATAACAGTGAGAATACAACCCCCCCCCCCCTCTTTTCAATCTCTGTATCATAATGATGTATGAATTTAAAGAAAAAGGTCGGTCTGGTAAGTAAATGCTTGGTCTGGTAAAATATATATTTTTACCAGACTGTATGTCCTGTAAAAATTTTAAACTTTCGCATAGACTGCAATATCTAATTATTCTAATTTCATGACTACAGACCTGCCTTCCCTTCCGCTTTTGGCGTAATTCTTCCGCTTTTTACCAAGAAATTACGCTGTTACGCCATGAAATTTAGTTTTACGCTTTTAAATATTTTTTCCTAGACAACTTAATGAATGGCTAACTTGGGAGTTAAAGTAAAGGCTTTCCTAAATAAAAACGAGAAGAAGATAATGAATACTAATTAATAGAGGGTTTTGGTTTTTTACTAAATGCTTATTTACGATACAAACAGCATACGTAATATACTTTGTAGTTATGCCTTTTAAACGGGTGGCATGCCAAAAATAAGAAAACAAAAAACTTTTTAATGATATGTGCAATAAGTAAAGTCAGGTTAATTTTCAACTCCGTTTATTCTTACATGGCTTAGAACAACATAGAGACAAGTAAATGTACGGAAAACAAAAACGAAATAGCGCAATAATGTAGAATTTGTATTATCATGCAAATAAAAATTTGAATTATGTGATTTTCTATAAATTTTCCAAAAGTCCATTAGGCATGTAAGTCAAATAAGTTTGATATAACTGCATTTAGGATACCAGTCATACAGTGCATGGACTTTTTGTCAATAAATGATTTCAAAACGGAACATTCATTCTTGCTTTGTTCAATGATGTACAATTACCAGTTTATCTAGATAATATAGTATCATTGCAAAACATCAAACTAGGGAAACATAAAGGATTACAGCTTTACCTCTGAAATTCCGCCAAAGTGAGTATTGAAATTACACCCTCGCAATGAAAAGGGTAGGCAGGTCTGTGACTATATGAAACCTGAATAGCAATTGTCGCTTTGGCTATTCCTCAGCTTGATTGGGTCCTTCACTAGATTGCTCGTAATCAGTATTCGATTCTTGAGATAAAATTTCTTGTGCAAACTTTGCCAAACTAGGATTGTGTAGACTCTAATAATATTAAAGTTCATATTAAATCTATGGAAAATTATTGACACATCCCTAAATTATTTTCAAAAAATTATCTCGTCCAGTCAAAATAAGTTGTGAAGCGATTTGTTTATAATTTACCAATTAATTATATCAACACTTGGACGACTAACAGGTGTAGTATCATCTATGTAAACACCCAATTAACATGTCCATCCCAGTCCCAGGCGTTCACTGTTATCCAGGTAAGTCCAAGCTGCATTAATTTTACGCTTGATTGGCGTGTATACATGCGCAATCAAAACTTCGAGAGATAGAGTAAAAAACAATGAAATGTGTGTAAAGGGACCCAGGTCTAGGTTCGAGAGAAAGAGAACTTAGAGAGATCAGGGACTCAAGAGATCAGGAGTAAATTTGCTTAGTTATATAGAGAAAAAAAAGGGACCGGAGGTTCACTTCGAGAGATCGAGAACTTTGAGAGATTGGAGTTCGAGCCATTGAGAGTCACCTGTATATCAGGGTTCGACACTAACGTTAGTCCATTAGTCTCAGACTAATACATTTTCATTCGGACTAATAAAATCTGTGACTAATTAGTCCAAGCGGACCAATAAAAAATTCTGGAAAACAATATGAATAATTTACCAATGTCCGGTTCTCGACAACTTTTACTCCGCATTTATTTTTAGATTTCTAGCTTTTTACGGGTAGTTACACAATTCCGAGTCAATTCAGCGCTTTATTTTTCGATTGATCGATATGAAGTAAAAGGTTTTAGCGATCATGATTTAGTATCACACTTTAAAGAAAGATGTTGGACGTTTTGAATGTAATGTAAAGACAAAAAAAGAATCAAGATCGGTAATACGATTGTACTTGCTGATTGTGAGATTTGAATGAATCTGTGGAATAATATATTTCACGTAAATGCTTTGTTTATTTCAAAAAAAGTTAAAACGTATATTAATTGTCATGTTAAATTAATGTCTAAAAACCTTTTTTTTGACGGACTCATAAAATCGTGTGCGGACTAGTAAAAGTAAAGAAGCACTAGTCCGGCCGGACTAAAGCCTTAAAAAGGTAGTGTCGAACCCTGTATTTGCAATTCTGATGTTGGGTGGGAAAAGTATCATTAAAAATATTGTAATCACCTAAGGATCATTATGGAATCTTTCTTTTCTGTATCTACCATACAATTCTCTTATAATACTGTATATGCAGTTTAAGAATTTGTGAAAAGTTTGTAGTGCTATATTCATTACACGCTCCTTAGATCCACCTTTGGGACTTCTGTCTCTGACAGATTTCCAGCAACTTTACTGGTTGTTTATCGAAGGTGCTTGAGTCATAGGCGTGTGACATTAATATACCTCAGTTTTACTACAATTTTCAAACACCTAGGATACACATTTCCTAATGCATGGTTTGAAAAATCAAGTAAACTGGGACACCTGAATTGTCATAGAATATGTTTATGTGATATAGAAGAATATTGAAAAAAAAAATTGAAATTAAGATAAACTTTGGTATCTCGAACACTGATATCTCAAATACCATGGATATATGGAAGTGAAGTGCAAGTCCCAACCACTTATTCCTTAAGTAAATTCACCTTTGATATAAGGGTGAAACATTTACTGAATTTTGTAAATGTTTAAACGATCAGTAGTAAACGAAACGTTACCGTTTAAACGGGAGAATATTTTGTGTTGAATTTTTATGGTTACTTACTCATGAAACACTAACTTAATACTGTATTCTTTTACTATAATGTAAGTATGAGTTGTTATAACTATTTATTTGTTGGTTTTTATGACGAAAAAATATGAAGCGCATAAAACTCATTCACTTTCTACGCCGTCACCCAATATTGCATTACTATTTTGTTTGGCTACATACTGGGCATAAAATTGTCAAATTAAACTTGCAAAGATGGATCTTTTAATCCTGAATTAAGTATACTGCGATCTGCTGACTGTACTGAAACACTTTGCAAAGACTGGTGGTGAAAACGTATTATATTAATTTAATCAAAGTAAATAAAGTTTTATACTTGGGAAAATCAAATCATAACACATCGTTAGTATTTGCTACTCGAAAATCGGAATTAAATATATCATAGACTGTATCGGGTTTTAGATAGTTTTTGTTTAATAACATGTTTCCAGTATCAATTAAAACAGAAAACAATTGCTTTCTTTTGGTAAATATGAATTAAAAAAACTTGTTTGTATTTATCTTTCCTTCTGATAGACATTGATAATGACCTTCGTGTAAACGTTTACTCAATCTGTAAACGTTTAGAGCATTTAATCGAAACGTCGCCGTTTACACGTGTAATCGTTTCGCCCTTACTTCGATATCTGGAATACTTGGATATCTTGAAGTTTTTTCTTCATCCCATTGAGTTCGACATAATGAAGGTTGGCTGTAATTAAAGTCAAGCCTAAAATATTGTTTTGTTTGTAGTGTGTGCTGATTTGATCAAGGGAGCTAAAGAAAAAGCCCTGAAGGTGAAGGGACCTGTGCGTATGCCCACAAAGGTTCTGCGAATCACCACCAGGAAAACTCCTTGCGGAGAGGGTTCCAAGACTTGGGATAGGTACCAGATGCGTATCCACAAGCGTCTCATCGATCTGCACAGTCCATCTGAGATTGTCAAGCAAATTGTATCCTTTTCAATGCAAACATATTTCTGAATTTTTTGTTAGCTAAGAATGTTAGTTTGTAAGAATTTTAAATAATGTAGTCTGTGGAAAAAAACACAAAAAAAAAAACAAGTCCCAGACTAGTAGAACTATTTCAAATTATTCATTTGTATGCTGATGCTGTCTTCAGTGACTTGCATATAAAGAAGCAAATTTGTCTGTATCCAGTTTTCATTACACCCCCCCCCCCTTTCTCCCAAGAGGAATAAAGTTTAATTTCATTTGCTGTCTTCATTTTCACAAAATGCATACATTTTCACCCTCCCAGGAAAAAGATTTCATCATTAGATGTGTTTGGTTTGCAGTCGCATGATTACTGAATAATTAAGAGTTATTCCCCTTTTACTGCTCTATTTTTCCTTAATAACTGTAGACATCCATCAGTATTGAACCTGGAGTTGAGGTCGAAGTCACAATTGCTGACGCTTAATTGTGTATGACCAAGAAAAAACAATAAAAACAGAATAACCATTTTTAGTTGTATTTTAGTTTTGTGAGTACTTTGTATTCTAAAGTAAGACTTGTTTCAGTGTACTTTCCTCAGTTGACAAGTTAAATTAATTGTTTACATAAATAGACACAGAAAGCAGAATCCAGCTTCCTTATTATACAGAAGGAAATTAGGTTTTCCGCAAAATCAAAAATAAAACAAAAGTGTGTCTTTCTGGAGGGTGGGGGAACCTTTGTTGTAAAAATCCCTTTTACTCCGTTGTACATGTAACGAAAATATTCTGTTTTAATTATCAAGTGGTTTACTTTTCATTATCAATTTTATCTGAGAAAAGAATTAAACCGATTGTTAGCAGAGTCAACATTCTATGCGAGATCCGGTATCCCCTGTTTTAAGAGTTAAAAGGAGTGAACAATGCGTGTGAACTTTCCAACTGTGTTGGATTGTGTGACACCATTGTAACACAGAAGTAATATTTACCGGGCAAGTGTGAATTGTCACAATTTACATTTTTGCGTCTGACCTTTTAATTGAAATGACTTAATCTGCTTCATAATCTGTTTTGTCAACCTGTCCGCAGGCGGTGTTGACATTTGGTTATGGGATAATAGCAATTTGTTATTTTTGTTGTCTTTGTAATTAAGAGGGGTTTTCATACCGCTGTTGTGTTTCCGAAAATGGACCTAAATTAATTTACAACACGAGGAAGTTCGACCAAATTTGGGATGATCAGATCATGTCCATGCAGGAATGATTTTCAGTATTGGGGACTTGTAATGAAGAGAGCACGAAGTGAAATGGGTCAGCAAAATTTTTATTTCGGTCTGGATGCCTTTGTCATGATAATGGGAGTCGGGAATGGACAATACACGTGGTTTCATTCTCACGAAAGAACCGTTACAGAATTCCCCACTGACATTCCCGCGGGTCATCCAAGATTATCGTTTCTTTACCCATTGCCTCTGAACACAAACATTGTGTGAACGCATGGGGGATGTCCATGTCTTCATAATAAAAACGAAGCTAATTGAGTATTTGTGTTAAGCCAGCAGGAAAACGGGTTTCGTCTACCATTTTTATTTTTTTCCCACATTGGGGATAATCTTGTGTGTCCCATTAAACCCCAAAATCTACAGCCAATTTTCTCCAAAGAGCAAAAGGTCTCGGGTGACATGCTTTAATCTAAAGTAGGTTCTAATGAAAAGGTAAATTATCATAATCACCTTTAAAATTGACTATCGTTCTACTGGTGAATGACTTCTACAAACACGGGTTAAAAATTATAAGATGATGAATATGATAGTTTTCGTCGAAGGACCAAGGCATAAAAGCGAACATGAAATCGGATCCCATAATCTTAGTGCGTTTGACGCTGGATTATGGCCTCAAAACAGAAATAAATTGAAGGCAATTTCAATTAAATAAAACGACATTAGGTTTTGGTGTATGAATTATAAATACGATTGATTGATAAATGGAAGTGATACAGAAGAAGGTCCTTAGTATGGTCTCTTTTTAGTCGTCTTCCGGTCTTAACAAATGTCAGGAGAAAATGGGATAAATATTCTTAAAAAACAAAAACGAACTTTAATGTTGGTTTTATTCAGATGCGATGTATAGACATAAAAGATATTGAATGGCGCAAATATGGAAAATTTGGTTGCTGCTGAGAATAATGTATAAGTAAACATCTTTAAATAAAACTATTGGATGAACCACTGGCCCGTTTTTATTTTGTTTGTGCTAATTGATGCACTTTTAATGAAGGCGGAGAACTCACGTATAAAAGTCACGAGACCATGAAAACTCCGGAAGTGACTGCTAAATCGGACATTTGCGATGCAACCAATTTCAAACATGTAAATAGTATCAAAAAATCACTGGTCTGGCAAAATTATTTTCAGTTTTTCTTGGAGTTTTTAAATTCTCTTTGATATTAAAAATTAGATAACGATATATAATTGGAGACATTTGAAATTTTTAATGACGTGATTTATTAATAAGATTGATAAAATCCCTTTGAAATAAGTATATATAACTCTTTTTTGTCTTCCTATTTGTAAATATTGCCAAGTCTTTGGTCAGTGGAAATATGACTAACGTGAGAATAAAAATAATTGGCACAGTAATCATTTGAAGTATTAGTAATTAGTAATCAGCTGTGACTTTCTGATTTTAGTTCGTCCATGTATACTATGAAAAAGGAAAAATGCTTATTTTATACAAAAGCCTACACGGCTTTAAACCTGAAGTAATACGACTATAGGAGTTGATCCCTATTAATTTTCTTTGTGTGTTGTTTAGTGAATTCTCCTTGCGGGGGATAGGGATAAGGATGTGAGATTTCTATGATTCAGACAGGGAATCTAGGACTAGGACACGTGCTAAATCACGCGCGAACTACCGGACCTGCATGTTGTTATGCACTATTATTAACTTATTTCCCCTGTCTTCTGGCCATGTCTGGTGGTAGTAATTTACAACACTGAATTACATCTATCTGTAAGTACGCCACATATACGAGTATAAACTGGATCACGTTAGGCTCCATTTCCAAATGCATGTGTAATTCAGATGTTTTTTATTTATACATGAAGAATGATCTTTTTATGCGATTGTCTTCAACCTTTTTTTGAAGTATTTTCCCAACATTTTATCTTTATCAACTTTAATATCTTTTTACAATTCGTTTTCATTCAACTGCATATTATACAGGCGCGGATCCAGGAATTTTTCCCGGGGGGGGGGGGGGCACCCCAGTCAAAAAAAAAAATTCTACCCAGAATTCAATACTAATAGTGGGAAGGGTTGAGGGTACTGTGAAAAATCACACTGAAATAATCCTCCGGAGAAAAAATTATGGAAATCCACATGCAAGTATTTAGTTGATGCTTGATTTTTATTTTATTCATTTATCGTTCAAAACAAATAAATATTGTTTTAGTTTCTTGAATGTACGTATTTCCATCAAATGTACTTTTGATTTTTTTTTTCAGATTGTTTAGCATTTCTTTTTCTTCATAAAACATACACGCAACTAAAAAAAAAATCTTATAGTATATACCAGGTAGTTGCAAATCAATCTATCGTTGAAAGTTGATTTCATGCAATATTTTGTCATCGCTGTTTATATCGGTAAGATAGGTAAAGAATTTAATAAGAGACATCGATCAATCAAAAAGAGGAGGTCGTATTGACAGGCACCAGGTGATCAAAGGGTTTAGACATAAAAATGTCGGCTCCTAACAAACAGCTAGGGCAGCTCTAAGCATGGCTACAACAGCTGTTCTCGTGCAGATTATTTTTTCTTCCCTAAGAAACCGAGAATGTAAAAATATCTTTAAGGAAATGAAATACTCCCAGAAGTGAAAATACATGTATAATCAAAAGTTTTATTTTTCTTTTCCTTTTTTTTTTTTGGTTGTCATTGCATGTAACGGGAAGTAATTATGGCGAAATCCCCAAACTCCCTTCATGGAAATGGTTTTCTGGAGGATATTTTTTTCATTATAAATACTGTGTTAATTATCTGCATGAGAAAAAGGAACATTATTTAAAAAAAATAAAAGAAGAGTAGTCTGAAGTTTAATACTTACTTTAAGGTAAATGCTGAAGTAATACTTTATTTTGTAATAATTTATTAAATGTAAGAGTAAACGTGAAAATAAGGTAATTATAGATTTCATTGATATAATTATAAAAATACATACATGTACATACATATATATATATATATATATTATATATATATATATATATATATATATATATATATATATATATATATATATATATATATATATATATATATATATATATATATATATAAAGAGAGATCGAGATCTTGGAAGACTAATTAAATATGACATTCAGTTGAATTATTTTGAATCTTCACGCATTTGAATTAAAAAAACTTAGAAACGTGTCCAGTAATGAACTAATTACTGCTTGACCAGAGGCTATGTATCAATTATGTCGTTAACAAGATAAGCGACACGTAAATTTATGTCTGACATCTAAGAATATACTTGTAAACACAGAAAACATTTCTAAGACAGAAGCTTACATAATAAAAATTATATGCAAGGGAAGAAATACTCTCTCTGAATGTTGTCAGCTTACAAAAATACTAGTCTAAATTTACACCTGTGTAATTTCTTGTATCTATAGATGCATAAACATGTAAATAAGGCGTGTATATTTTAACGTTCGGCGACGGAAATTTCCATATAAGGAACTATGTCTGGATACGGAATTTTACGAATCTTTGTTGTTGTAAACACAATGACAATATGCCGCTGCTAAATCAATATTTTATGCCGATTTTAGACATGATTGGAAATAGATACTGAAGGATATATATTTTTACCAGTTGCACATGTTGCAAAAGGTAAAATGCAATAGCCTAGGTAAGTGTACCTGAAAGGGGGCGTTTCCAGACAGGTAAGGTACTAATTTTAGACATCATTGCATTTGCTCGCATGACGGCGCACAAGTGGACTATAGTAATGTGAAACACAAAACCCAGATGACCTGTTTCGCAAATCCGATTGTTATTTAGGAAACGAAAGTCAAAGGAGACAGTTGTGTGTGTAGTCCTGGGTTGTTATATGAAAGTACTGTTTAATAATTGAATCAGGATTACCATAAGGACTATAACTGATCATCTGGCGAGGTTGTGACTATACAGGTAAGACAAGAATACACCCTATTTCTGATAAAGAGCGGCCTATTACACCTCTACAAGGTAAATGATTCATGCCATAAAGGTTTTGCTCTTTGTAGGGCACGTTTCTCTCGTGGATTTCCCACAGAGTTACAAATACACAGTTATTCCCTCAAGAACCGTTCTATGTTGTATGTATTACTTGTTTCTAATCACAGTTGAACTTGGGAAGATTTAAGATAACTCCATCAAAGTTCAAATCTCACCGAGGAGCTGCAATTGAAGAGCCGTGTGGCTAGAAAGAAACATATGTGGGTACTGATATTAAGTTTAATTTTTTTTCTTCCAGTAGCCTGGTGTGAACTGTCACAGCTAGCTCCAGTTTAGAAAAAAAGTTGGAATTCTAGAATGAGAAATAGGATTGAACTTTGAAAAGTGTGAACAGAGTGACGATTTGGTCGATACTTAGCAATCCTTCCTCACGTTGTGTTTAGACGTTTTGTGTTGGTGTCCAGATAATGAACTTCTGGTGGTCGTAGGACAGAGCAGAGCCAATGTCTGTGGACATTTTACCCCCAAAGTTTTCACAAATTCATACGGCGTTCAGCTACCCCCATCTACAGCAGATGAAGGAGGCACGGCCCCCATCCCCCTTTGTGGTTCACGGGAGGATTCAGGTTGACGATGCCAACACCAAAGTCAACATCAATAACTTCGATCCCAACTACATTGTGTACGACCCGACATCTGATACTACCTACATCAGAGGCCGTCTGCTGGGCAAGGTGAGTCGATCTTCTGAATATATTGATTGAGAGACAGTGTGTTTACATTTAATGAGAACTGTACACTTAGCAATTGATCAATTTATTCGACAAAATATACATAGTATGTTGAAGAGAGAGAGGGAGGGGGCATTAAACAGCTTCAGAACTCGGTTTATTTTAAATTTGGAAGTCGTCGTGCAAATAAGTCATAATTTTCATATTTAATAAAATTTATTCACTAAATACAAAAGAATTGATAGATAACCTTCTGAAACATATGGCTGCCAAGATGGACCATGCTAAAATAGAAATTAACATGCTTAATTATGCATCCAAAAAAGATTGAGAAATCACTTGACTATCAGTTGATGTTAAATTGTTTTTTTTAAATTATGTAAAACCCATTGATTTTAAATGAGAACAAAAGGCACAGAACTGCCATGTTAATGCTCTAGAAATAGGGTTCTGCAAGGTTGTATAATATCTTGTTCAAGACAAAGATTACGCCTTATCAGGCTTATAGGAGTAAGTTGTGCCGAACTTTCGCCCTCTGTGAGAACAGACACTTCACGGTTTTTGCTATCTTAGTGATCAGAATGCCATACACCGACATGCATATTTGTTAAATTACTTTCCTACTCAAAAAAAAAAAAGACGACAATAAAAAAGAAAAAAAAAGACCGTTTTTGTATTAAATTTTGATAACTTGAAATTTGTGTACTCGAGCAAACTTTATGTGAATGGAAGAAATGATATATTTTTTCATCTACAGTTTATCAATAACACTAGACTTTTTTTGACAAATATTGATAAAACGCTGCACACTGCAGACAAAGTTTTATTTAAATTCATTTTTCACTTCTCAGGGTGCCCTTATAGTGTTTGTTTTAAACCGGATATGAGGCTTAAAAAGTTTTTGAAAAATTTGCTCTGCCCTGTTGATAAGGATCTTGCAGACTATGATTGATTTTGACACAAGGTCTAGAGCAAAATTTGTTTTTTCACCATTGTCAGCAAAGAGTTTACATGAACCCAGGGCACGCTAATATGATTATAACTGTATTTAAAAGTAATGAAAAATACTTGGAACAGGCCAAGAATTCAATAAAATTGGCCAGTGGTAGGATAATATTAAAAGTCTTCAAAGGATAAAGAAGCCAAAGAATATATCCAGTGGAACAAAGGAGAAGGCTGAAAATTCTTTCAAACAAAGAAGAAAATATGCAAAAGTAAAGAAGTAATAAGTAAATTCCATTGTTAAGACGACTTAAATGCTATATTGAGCAGTTGTATTGTCCACCCTTCACCCCAGGCAAGGATCAACTTCATAAGAAGTGATCGGGTCATTTCATTACACGCGATTTTTCTTTGTTTAGTGGCACCTCCAAAATTAATTATTTATCTGTGGGTTCAGGTTAAGGAGTATATTTGTTCTTTTGTGACATAAGATTCGATATATATCCATACCAAATCTGAAGATTTTGCCACCCTGCTTGTTTTTGTCCACGTAAGAAATCATTAGGCCATCATCGTGGCCTGAAGACACCTTACAAAAACTGACGATGTCCGTAAGATATATAGAACCCTTGGGTGATACTTACAAAATACATCTAACTAAAAAGCTATTAGCAAATATACTCAGAAGATTTATTTGACAATTTATTTAATTCGCTGTATAAGATTTGTTGAGTTCATTCGGAAGTCGCGAATCTCTTTGATACTGCCATTACACAGGAGTCTTCCAAGTCTGTTAAACAGTCACTTAAGAAAACCCTTACAGCCGTGCCATAAAACACAAACTTTACCCCCTCTCTCTCATATCCTTGGTCCGCAAAGTGTTTCAAGCTATTTAGCCCGCTGATGAGAAATTATTTTTACAAAATTATCTGATGACGTTGCTCAGTTTCATAAGAAACTTAAAAGGAAATATTAGCTGTTCTGGGTTATTGATTAAACATTTATGGAAAGTACATGAAAGAAAGTTTGTCCATCCGTATAAAAACCAAGTTATTAACTAAAAAGTTTACACCCATTAAAGCGAAATGAAACAACAAGTATACATCTCGGGTTATGAATTTGATATTAATGCTACTTATATGACACGCAAGTATAGGAAACGTTGAGTCAGAGAAACCTTTATTGAGTCGGTGGTTGACACCAAAACCTAAATCACGTCATTAGACTCCTCATTCATAAAGTCATCAAAGAGGCATAAAAACTACTTATAATTGGCCAATCTCCACTTCCGAGTTTTTTTTTTTTTTTATTTTCGGGGTTGGTGTCATCAAGAAGCCTATGTCAGTCAATTTAATGCAATATAAAAGGAAAGTAAAAGCTCACTGGTGAAAAACTGCAATTGAAATGTCAAAAAACCCGAACTGAAGAGAAATTGTCACAAGACGGGTCGCTTACGACATTGATGTTATATTGTGTTCAAGACCTTCAGACATACTGGGTTTTTTAAACAACGAATATCGTGTTTTATGTCTTTCAGAGGCAGGGGTCGTGAGAATGTTTTTTAATATAATTCTAAATGAATCTCAGCTGTTCATAATTTATTTCACTTACGAAATCAAAGGAAGGTTCCTCAAGGACACTCAGGAGAAACAGAGCTAGCCGTGCAGAGTAACTTAAGTTCATAAAATTTTCAGAATATTTTATTAAACTAAACTTTTCGTACATTTAGTTTACAAGTATCGTATTTCTTGAAACCCATCAAGGAAACAAATACGAAGTAATTTATTATGGAAAGTAAATAATTCGTACCATGTTTGTAATATTCACAGACAAGACAACCGTGAACAAGAGGTTCATTCATGAAACGACAATATATCCACTCCTTGTAATTACTGAGTCGTAACCTGTAGGCTTTTTGCATAAAAAAGAACATAAATGGCCATCTTTAACATCAAAGATCTATTTATTTAAAAAAAATATTATAGATAAATGCAGTTTACTATATGGTGTCTCTTTGAATCATATTTTAGTATATTTTCTATTAGATCCTTGAATTTTGACGAAGTGGATTTTAACACCCACGGAAAGGACCCCGTGAGATTAAATCTCGGTGGTAGACGGTTTTGTTTGAAATTTGAGTCACACATTCTTGGCATAGCTTCATAATGGACCACAGTTAATATATACAAAGATCTACATGTATAATATAGACATTAATCCAAAGTATAAGTCCGTACCTGGTCATGGGAAACTGATCATTTCGATTGAGAAGAAAAGTACACGTGTTTAAAAAATAAACCTCTTAAGTCTTAACCATTTGAAACTTTTATTTACATTTGAAGCTTGTTTATCAAGAGAAATCGAAACCTTTTCATATGCCCTTTTAATGCATTTGCGTGCTGTTGCTTTCTGCTTCATTTGTTTGATGTATCAACTTTTTGCTGAAAGGTGCGAATTTCATCAGTACTAAAAATAGCATTGAACTGCTCGATACCTGTGGAGAAAGCCTTGACTAAAATGTCACCTAAAAATTCCTGCATAAATAATTGACAAATACAGTATTTTATCTATCTTTGACCCACCTTGTTCTCTGTGAATAAAAAAAAATTATCAGAGTCAGAGTTTGCACAGAGATCTATGTGTACCTGTATTAAAGTAAGCAACTTTTAAGATGCTATCACGAAATGGGCTTTCCACGTACGCTGCCACTGCCTTATCTAGTCTTATATATCAAATATATAGTGTATGTCTGATCTGAGAGTTCTCTTAAAATATTTTTGTTTATGATTCGTTTGATAACCCTCGCCAAATTTCACCATATTTTACTAGTCACACGCTTGAATCAGCATGTACGCATGCAGTTCAGGGGAAGCAAATTTGCCGATCTAAGCAGAGGACTTATCAAATAATTATAATTACAGGTCCATGAGTTTTAATTATAGTGCTGACAAAATCAGCTGATTCCTTACAGTGCTCTCTTAATCAGCAGTGTGTTACTTCAATGCATTGCTGTGGGTTATCCCAGGGGTTTGTTTATTGCTAATGGGTGGCCCATCCGACTTTTGTACCCCTATTATATTTTAGAATATCATTAGAGAACGTCACGCGAACATAATCAAGTGGAAAAACAAAGAGAAACGAAGAACAGAAACATTTTACATGGCCATTAAGTTTATTAGGTTTAAAATACTCCATACCCGAGGAGATTGGTTTCCGATACAGGGCATTCCATGCATCTGAGGTATTTTTCACCATTTCTGGTGATTAAGCAACAAAGTTATCCCCTTCCCCGGAAAACAATAGCGTTCGTCTGAGCGTTCAGTGCGATCTATAGGACGATATAAGTAAAAATCGTCGGTGTGTATCGCGATTCCGATTGTATCCAATTCCCCTCACTTAATCATCTTACCTACGATTGCACACTGAGCCGTCGATCACGCAGCTTAGACAGCAATACGCGTTCTTTGTCTTTGTGTTAGACTGTATATGATATAGGTATTTTATACAGAATGCAAAACTGTGTTCATTTGAGTAGGGACACCTGCAATTTATGACGACGACTGACTCGCCATTGTATGGGAGGAATGGCATGATCAATGTTACATCTGTTGTATATGATTGATTCTGTTTAGAGCTGAGATTTGTAGGGGTTTGAACGATCAATAAAAATTGTCTGAAATTATTTGACAAAAAAAGAAATCTTCCTGTCGTTGACTATGCAAAACGAAAGAATGTCATAAATTAAGTGAAAGGTATTTCGATAATTATTTTATCACCTGTTTAAAAATACACTGACTATATAGTTTTAATTTATCACTTACATTTTCATAAAGCCATAAAAGAACGTGAGAGATATCTCAAAAATATTTCATTTATCTAAAATCTTATCTTTCATGTCTTTTCTTAATCTTTTTTGCGTGAGAGAGAGAGAGAGAGAGAGAGAGAGAGAGAGAGAGATTCCGGCAAGTTTCTTTTATCCTAAATTCAAGTATATTTTCTTTTCATCTCTACAGGGTGGTTTTGCAAGATGCTACGAACTTCTGGATTTAAATACAAATAAAGTGTATGCTGGAAAGATAATATCAAAGCAGCGACTCACAAAACCACATCAGAAACAAAAGGTATGGGCTTATCATATAGACCAGAATGTTAGAAAATAAAAAGTAACAGAGAAAGGGAATTCATTTAAGATACCCATGCATATACACAAAAGAACGATAAATGTAGTTTTGCTAATAATAATAACTATAAATTAATCAGTTTTTCAGTTGTTATTTGATATGTAGTTGAGCGTAGTTACAGCAAAGAGCAAGAGGTCAAGTGTTAAAGAAAAACTAAACAAAAGTATTTTGAAAAATTATACAGGCAGATTCAGATGAAATAATGATACCAAAAAAAAAATCTGATGGAAGCTTTCAGTAGGCATAATTAGTTACATTGGCTAGTTCCTTCACTTAAGTGACGCGTATGATTGGCAGCGTTTTCTACGTAGTTCAATTGACTTATCCGAAGACCAACGTTTCATTTTCTCCATCTGCCGTCCTAATCAGTATAGTTCATTTCCTGGAGGATTTTACGAGAGAGTTAGACATAAGATACGTAAGAACTTAATCAGAGAGATCTCGAGAAGTGGGATAGAGAAAGACAGCTGTCCGAGCTGCACTACTTTTGATAAGATTTCGTTAAAAAGAAAAAAAAATGCTTCCTCTGCAAAACCAAATGTTCCAGATTTTCTTCGGAAAAATGATTCTGTAATTTACAAACGAATTGACATTTTTTAGTAAAAGGTTTTATGTTCTATCCTCCTGTAACGAGCCCATTTTGTAATTGGATAAAAAGGAATAAAATGCAAGCTTTATTAAAAATGTCAAAGGGATTACATTTTTGAGCATGTTTTATGCAACGTAAAATGAGAAGAGAAATGTCTGGGATGAATGCGTGTTTGGGGTCTTCAGAGAATCCCAAGCCTTGGTGTAGTAACGAATTTAATCAAATAAACTGAATGAAACAGAAAGGGTCCTTGAGAACGTCGCGAAATGTAGGACGAGGATTTCATTGAAATCCGAAAATCAACTTGAATGAAATGGGCAAATAAAGGTCGACTCTTTTGAAAATATTGATTGAAAGTTTTAGAATGAGTCACCCTCTTTAGCCCGGAAGTCCAACCCACCCCTAAGTGATTAGGTTCGTATTGTGTTGTGTACCCCTATTCTTATTTTATCCGTCTGCTGTTGGGAAGAATCTTTTCTTTTTATACTCATGCTGTATGATATTTGTACAGTAGAAATCCATTATCAATCTTCCTTGGAGCTCGAGGTGGCCGTTATAAAGCAAACAGCAGGGTGTCGACCACCTCGGGTCACCCCGATAATTCATCAGTTTAAAAGTAACAGACGACAAGTTGATTTCTAGGCTACCTGGTCGATGTCAACAAAGAAATGACAGACGTAAACACTCTAGAGAGAAAAGTTAGAAGGGATTTTTATTTTGCTTTAAAGAAAATAAGTAAAGCCATCGCATTTCACAGACAGCTTAGTAAAGCAACATAACACTTGAACGAAATGACTTTAATGGAAAATCATTATGAAGCAAATGGATTTTCCAGTCATGAGTGAGCAAAGAATTGTCAAAAAGCACAGTTATTCTATATTTTATGCTACATGCTATTTTCAATTCCGGATTCGTTGTTTTGTCTGCCATGTATATGGCATCAAAAGTAAATGTTAGATCCTAATATGAATAATTGATAACTTTCGGATGTATTGCAGTTTCTCACTTTCCTTTGATGCTACTCAATTGCAGACCTACTGGAATGCAGACCAATTATCCTGAAGACTTTTGTTCTATTTGCGAACATAACATTTGACCAATTTTTAAATTAAAAAGAAATTATATATATAGGATTAGTATAACAATCTAGAGAACAAAAGATAGGTATGTGAAAGCTTTCACTTGTGTAATCTTATAATCTTTATAATAGTATTATTTCACCGCCCATTTGGTCTCTGAAATGGAATTATTTCCCTACGTATTGATGACTAGCTAGAATGAAGTTCAAAATGCATATGAAAACAAAGCCTAGTATTTGGAATGTCTGAGTAGGCCTGCGCGGTCTTTTATGGACATTGTTCCCGCATGTTCTACATAAGAATATTATTTGGTCTGGTGTAAGGCATCCATTATTATTCAATAATAACCACATAAAACTGTAATAACGATTTATATATGCAATGAACATTGTAACAATAATGCCATTACCATAAAAAAATAGTCCCATTTCTTTAACGTTATATACAAAGACTTTGTAAAGAAAAACACTCTGGAATTATGGCAAATTAATTCCCGACTGTAACCCTTGTTTATTAGCAAGTTAAAGTTGTCTTTTATGGACAAATGTGTTCATTTACTTAAAAAGTCCCATGTATTGGCTATTAGTACGGAGAATTGGAGAAAGGAAAGAGAATTTGATTGCCTCCTATTTCAAATAATACCTGTGTATTGGCTTCCTCTCTTAACGTATTCTCTCAAATTTCTTTATTGTGGTCGTATCGTTTTTTGATCTTTGTACTTAGCATGTTGGTAGTAATGGCGGCGTATTGCCCCGGATGTCATTCGATACAAATTAGAGTACTCCGAAAATCACTCTATGAGACTTTGACATAATTTTTTTATGGGAAAAACTATGAAGACTTGATTTACACGTCAGTCTTTTTTTCTCTTGTATTAAACTACAGTATTATGTCGTCTGCAATGGAGTATTACAATGGGGTAGCGAAAAAGACAAATAAATGCCTACCTCCCCGAAGAATCGTCATTATTTACAATAGCTAAAAAATCTTTGTAGGCAATAGTGATTTTGACAAACGAAGAACAAGATATATGATTCTGTTTTATAAAAAAAAAATACTTGATGGATCAAAATATAATTACAGAAAATTAATATATGTTTTCAAGAACAATTTGTTCTTTGTACAATTACATTGCCCATCAAACGCAGTGAATTCATAAAATCTCGCATACTTGAGTAATACATATGTATTATGATTGTGTATTATTTTCTGTGACAATGTAAAACAAATTCAGCTTGTAATTGAAGAGGTCGCAAAAAATCCAAATTTACTTTTTTTTTATCATTTGTGACATTATATTTAAAGAAAGCCTCCAACCTTTGCTTTTGCAGATTGCCAGAGAAGTAGATTTGCAGCGGGATCTCTCACACGAGCATGTAGTGGGCTTTCATAGTTACTTTGAAGATGAAGACAACGTGTACATTGTTCTTGAAAACTGCAGCAGAAAGGTTAGACTGCAATCTCCATAGTCCTTGCCAATCCTTGCATTCAGACATTGATTCTTTCTCCGTCATAACGGACATCTAATAACATACCCTTGTAGCTTTAAGCTCATTTGGCAATTCTATTTTGTTTAATTAGGGAAGGGCATTTTGATAAAACCTAATATTTCATCCATAAAATACAAGTCTGGGTCCAAGTAATGAGTAATAATTTAACAAGGATGAAATAGAGAGAAGACACAGCGCCGTTTATCTCTATACCTGACAAAGACGTTCTTTATTATTTATAATTATATGCCCTTCATTTCAGTCAAGACCTTCAAAATATATATCACTCTCTATTTCTAAGCCCCCGGTTGTATAAGCCCATATAAAGATCATATCTTCATTGTAATAATAGGTAAACGACGCATTAAGATTTCCGAGTTATAAAAGTTTTGTGTGTTTTATAAGGAGACATATCAAGTTTAGAGAGAATGTTTTGAATAAGACCTTAAAGAAAAGATGGGTGTATAAAAGGACTGAAAAGGCCCAAGTTTTGATCAGTTAAGGAATACATGTGGCTAGCCGTCTTCTGTAATCTCTAAAAATTCAATTCAATCAATGTTCTGAGAAACAATGATCAGACAACAATTCAATATGGCCGTGTGTTTTTGTTCTTTTTTTATAGAGCCATAAGATAAAGTTTAAATATCATCCAAATAAAATGCCAGCATTGTCATCGTTTTTGTTGCATTCTATATGCGGTAGAACACTTATGACCAATGATTGGAGATTACATAGCTTGTTGAAACAAATACTCAACACTGTATTGCTGATATCAGTGCATAGTTTAGATATTGAATATTTTAAAATGAGGTTAACCAATAGGTTATATAGATACTGAACACATTAAAAATTCAAATTCCGGTTTTTGGGGTTTTTATTTCGATCCTTCTTTGCAAGACATTAAAGACTTTACAACACATCAATGGCATTTTGAAATCTGCATCAATCTGCAATCTGCATTAATCTTAAAGTCACTAAGCTTCATTATTGCTTCAAAGTTTATTTGTACTGTATAGCATTCTTAACGGTGCATTGTATTTCATTAATATTTTAGAGAGATTTTTTGTTGACAAAGAAACTAGACAGAAATAACAATAATCTTAAAGTCACTAAGCTTCATTATTGCTTCAAAGTTTATTTGTACTGTATAGCATTCTTAACGGTGCATTGTATTTCAGTCTTTAGTTCACATGTTGAAACAGAGGAAAACTCTGACAGAACCGGAAGTGCGATACTACCTCCGTCAGTTGGTGGAAGGCGTCAAATATGTCCACAACAACAATATAATTCATCGTGATCTCAAACTGGGCAACATGCTCCTGAACGAAAAAATGCAACTCAAAATCGCAGACTTTGGTCTAGCCACAAAAATGACCTACGAAGGCGAAAAGAAGATGTAGGTTAATTTGCAAATAGTTTTGATGCCTGTCTGATAACATATCAATTTCCTGTGTGTAGATACTGATAACTAATAGTATATACGTGTTTCATTCAAATGTATAAACAAATATCATCATTTTTTTCAGGACCGTATGTGGAACTCCAAATTACATAGCACCAGAAGTTCTGCAAAAAAGAGGTCATAGCTACGAAGCAGACGTTTGGGCAATTGGATGTGTAACGTAAGAATACACTGTGCATAATAACTTTTTATGAAAAAAATTCATATGGCTTTTTGTTAAAAATTACTGTGCATTATAACGAATTTCAATTATCTTTTCAGTTATGCCTTGTTGGTTGGACGGCCCCCATTTGAAACCTCAACTCTCAAGGAGACATATGTCAGAATTGCAAACAATAACTATGTTCTTCCACAAACCATGTCACTGCCTGCGCAGAACTTTATTCGACAGTGCCTGAATCATGAACCCGAACTCAGACCGAGTTTGAACGAACTATATAACCATGAATTCTTCAGCTCAGGTTTTCTGCCGAAGTCCCTTCCCTCTTCGTGCTGTACCAACGTGCCAAAATTCCCCGTGTACACCAAGTTCAACAGGTTGTTATGCTAATTTAAAAATTCATGAACATTCATCAATATCAATGTACATTTTATTGCAAGGAGAGGCTTTAATATTAAACATTAAGCTTTTTTTATATTGAACATCATTGACTGCGAGCATGACATTAAAATATTACAAGTAGGTGAAATTTAAATGACTCTCCTTGCATGCAATTGATGTTTTTTTTTCTTCCTCTGACTTAAAAAATTAATGGTGGGCAATTGATCAAGAACGTTAATGAGATAAATGTTTTTGCACAGACAGAGTGCAAAAAATACCATGTAGAAAAAAAAGAAATAATTAAAGCATTTAAAAGTATGCAGACAATTTTAACAAGCGCTGATACTGCATTTATTTGAAAGCATGTTTACACACATGCTAAAATCCGATTAGGAAGATCTGAAATAGATAAGTGAAATATATCCACAAGTTGTCCTTAAGCCACAGAAAATTTTCCCAGGACCATCATTTCTTTTATTTCAATATAATGAAAGCTGAGCAAAAATCTCTTGTCAACCGTATGACTTTCAACTGTCAGTTATTCAGCGCGATAAATAAGGAAAAGTATCCCGTATCACTGTAGCCCTGACTCAATGGTTCTACCCGAGTGATTTTTGTCGTAGATTATGGCAATGATATCCTTAGAAAGTTTCATACATAAAAAGTTTTTTGACAGTCTATTGTTTCTTTTTTTCACGAGACCTACATCTTAAATCAAATGTAAAGTTAACAAGTTCACGGCAAATTAAACTCTCATTGTTCCACAAAGTACATGAATGAGAATGTCAATATTTACCTGGTAAAGATAAAACCATCATTTGGTCGTCATTGATGAACCTTGAACATAAAAATATCTGATAATTTCTGGAGCTGCAATTGTACCATCGCAGATGTTGTCTGATCGTAAAACAGCTTTAGCAAACTCCTTATTTTTATAGGCGAGCGGTATTATCTTGTATTCTTCCTTCGCAAAGCAAACTTGACCGTTTTGGTGACCCGACAATAAATACACATCTGTTTAAAGTACAGACTTCTCAATTTCATGCGATTTTTAAAAACTGGCAAATTATTTAATAGAATATTCTTGAACATTTAGGTGATCTTTTTCTGATAAACAAAACAAGTCGTTAAATCACTAACTTACACTTATTACTTAAATAATTAAAGATTCATTGGCTACTTAATTTATAGACCCAAGTCGTATGCCGTACCAGACAAGCCTGATGCAGTAGAACGTATGACGTCACCCATCAGGAACATCGAAATCCAGACAGACACCAGACCAGAACGACAGGCAAATGAGGTCAGATCACCGCATCCATCAGACGTCAATACGTCAAAAATGTTTCGATCTTATCGAATTCTCATTTATTTTCAATGGATATTTTTTTTTATCCCTTTGCATATGACATTTTTAAATTCTTTTTAACAGTTGGCAGAACGTATCTCCTCACCCCCACCTTTCCCTTCGGTTAAATCACCAATCACTGTCTCTCCCCCAACTTCCTTCCCGACCGTCAAGTCCCTGGTCAGGGAAAATGTCAGCGAGAGGAACAGCCGTTCAGAGTCACCTCCAAGCAGAGGTGAGTAAATATAAACATTGCGAAATTATTGAGTTTGACGAGTTTTGTTAAATCTTTCTTATTCATTAATCCGTTTTTTAACTAGAATCTTCACCCAAACCACGTTCAGCAGTGACGTTACTTGATGTTCTACACACATGCTTAGAACACATGCCCAAAGGTAATTTAGAATTACATGTATAACACCCCCATGCTCTTTCCATTGATTACAATTAACTTTTAATTCTATAAAATCTTTAAATGATAGTCTGCAATAAGAGTGAATTTTCTTATTTAGATGTCAGAGAAAACCCACTATCCATATCTGACTCGAACATTGTCTGGGTGACAAAATGGGTAGATTATTCCAACAAATACGGCTTCGGTTTCCAACTCTCCAATGACGTCATTGGCGTTCTATTTAACGACACTTCAAGAATCGTGATGTCACCGGATGGGAGGTAATTATAACTTATGTCCACTATTTGTGTATCAGGCGACTATGGCTACCGCATTTAGAATGTCTATTTCCTGGTGTCAATGTTTGTTTATTAACTCTTTCATAATACTATTATATGATAGATACCCTTTGTTGTTCTAATAATAGATTCCTGTGGTTTGATGTACTGGGGCCTGTTAAACGACCCATGTGAATTCTTCTTAAATTCTATCTAATCCATCATTCAAATGATATCGTCAGAATGTTATTCTAAATATTTATCATTTAGATTTTGGGCGGAAATTTAAACCTAATATCTTCCGGCAATTCAATAATATAAAGAGAGAAAAAGGGAAATATTTCAAAATGAAATAATTTAAAGTTGATAAAATAATAATGAAATAATAGTTGTATTAAGGAAATTTTTCTGCAAATAAAAAAAAGATGGGAAAATGTTATTTGACACCATAGTATCTATGATGTATTGCCAGGTGCACGTGTTTAGTTTGGTCAATTATATTCGGATTTGAAGAATTTAGTGAATGACACACAACAATGCTTTACAAAAGGAAGTAAAAAATTGATTGTTCAAATAATTTTTTCACAATTGACAATTTTTTAAAATGTTTTGTAGGGCCGTGCAGTATTTTGACGTCACCAATAAGTCGTCATCATACACCGTAGAGTGTGTCCCAGAGGAGCTAGAGAAGAAGACTACCCTCCTGCTTTACTTCGCCCGCTATATGGACGAACATCTCATCCAGGTCAGTATACCCACAATTTACAGTAAAGTAAAAAAAAAAATTGTGATGTTGGGATTATTTTTTGGGTGATGCATAGTGGTTGTGTCAGCTTGACCTTATTTATTTATTTATGGTCCTTGCAGGGAGGTCAAGTGGAATTGTCCAAGGACTCTGACGATTCTTGGTATGGAAATGTCTACTTGAAAAAGTGGTTCAGAACATCGAAAGCAATTGTTCTTTACCTCAGCGATGGAACTCTTCAGGTATGATATTTTTATATCCCTGTCACGTGACATAGAAATTGATTACTAGTATTGTTTGTTCACTCTTGTACGACACACATTATCCCAAATTCCATTGCAAGTTCTTTTATACAACATACATGTATGATTTTGTAGGTAAACTTCTTTGATGACCATACCAAGATCATAATGAGTTACATGAAGAATGACTACTATGTGACCTATATCGATGAAGAAAGAACAGCGAACACGTACTGCATGATGCAAATAATCCAAGATGGCTGCCGCAGGGATATTGTTCAGCGTATGAACTTCGCTAAAAAGATGCTCAAAAACTTAGTTGATATCGAGGGAGCTGATATTTAAATTTGTGTCTGATATCAGATGACTTTTTGATAACAAAATATCACGTCCCATTTGTCTTTCAAAGGAAATATAATGTTATTATCAAACCTTTTGAAGCGGATTTATAAGAAAGGTATCATGAGTCATGCGGTATATACATGTAGGCATATGTCCATCATTAGAGAACAGTCTCTAAGTGCCTTAGTTGTGCATACTATAGTATTTATGAGAATATACTTCAGATCTCGGATAGTTTACCGATTTCCATAATAAATTGGTGCATAATAATAATCAGCTAATAATTAATTAGCGTTTAGTGATAGTAGGTCTAACCTTAGAGATGTATAGCTTTGATTGAGAGATTATTGCTGCAATATATATCAAAGGACTAATGTCTCTCAACTATCGCCCGTCCTCCCCTGGAAACTTGCAAGGTGCTATGACTACACAGGGGGATCTTGTATGGGCCGTGAATAATTGAATTGGTCCCGTATATATTTGTAATAAAAATGTTAGAGAAAAAACATTCCTGCCAAACATTGAATTCGTGTATAAACTAGTCTCGCCTTGTTTTTTGTCCTAATATATATGGATGATATTCGGACCGAAAACATTTGCATTTGCATTTAATTGAAACATTTTTGAGCGTTGGACGCCAAAACTGACTAGATACTTGATACCTGATAACATGTGATAATAAAATTGTGGACCAATATGTTGATCTCATGTTAAAGAATAACATTGAAAATAATGTGCACATGTAGATAATGCCATTCTTTTTCATTGTACGAACACCTGTGATGATTTTTTTTGTTGTATATTGTTGATTTTTTTTTAATTTCTCGCTTAAATGAACATTTGGTATATGTTCTGGGTGTCTTAAGCAATGGTTTTTAAATTGCTTCTAAAGAATAAAGCAGTTCGAGGTTTTTGTTTCGAAATGGTATGAATGAACCTCAGATTTCGGATATGGATTTGCTCTTGTGTTGCAATAATTTGAAGCAAAAATGTTTATCTGCTTCTCTTTAACCACAAAAGCGAATTGTAGGTATATGATGTGTGACAAAATATGAAATTACGGCTTTTTACAATCGGGATCTCAGTGGGATATTGTAATCATGTTGATTAGTGTATGTAATAACTGTTACATAAAGGTTGGATTTTTTGTTTCGTCTTTCGAAATGTTCATTTCTTCAGACACGAAGAAATGTCCATTTTTTTCTATCGCTGAAAATATAATCAGGCAACTGTAATAATTTATGCAATATTTTTTTTTTCATGCAATACGATTTTTGTTGGACCCACATTACACCATGAAAATATGTATAAATATACTGTACGTATGCATGCCGAGGAGGCTACTTGTGAACTGCATTTATTTGTAAGATAGTGTGTGCTGGTTGACTGAATGTGCAAACTCCGTGTGATTTTTGGATTTAAAAAGTTTTTTTTTTGCCCTTTTCAATAAATGTCTTGCAATAACATTTTCTTGTTTGTTTTTTTTTCCAGTAGAAGCACATCTCAGTAATTCTTGTCCAAAAAATGAGAAAGAATGATTTTTAACAACAATTAAACATTACCATCGACCAGAAGAAATTCTTCATCAGCATGAAACAGAGTACTTATTTGATTTATGAAACTGAGTGTTTGACATAAAACTAAACATCATACCTGTATTAAAATACTTCATATGAATTAAAGTGTTAAAGAATGTCGACCAACAACGGACCCATCTCTTGTTATAATCTTTGAAAAATATAAATGGTTTCAATGGTTCAGAAAATTTTGAGACTTAAATAAATTCTATATTTTCAAATAAACATTCAATTTTAGAAGTCGCCCGCGTGGCGCAGTGGTTAGAGTGTTTGCTCTTAGTCTAGAGTCGCGAAGTAAGGAGTTGATTCTTACGTCGCGGGTTCGAATCCCACTGCGGGACGTGGAGACCGGTCCTTTGGATGAGACGTATAAACTGAGTTCCCATATCGCAGTAGGTGCTGACACGAATACCTGACTGCTCAAAAGCCGTAAAAAAATTTTACACGTTCTGTTCGTGTTAGACATTATGGATAAATAGGGAAGTTGAATTTCTTTATCAGTCACAGATCCCAGGTCATCATGTTCCTGCTACATGCTTTAATATCAGGGCTACTTAGAAACGTTAAAATACATCAATATACAAGTGTTTGGAAGAAATCGATGGAAATGATATGTGAACTGGTCAGAAAATTTGCATAAGAAAAGGGAATTAACCCTAAACAAACTTTTATAAAATTATCGGAGTTTTTTTTACTCAGTAAACTTAGCAAATTGCTTCCTTCTTTGATATATTAAAAAGAAATAGAAATGTAAGAAAAAGTGAGCAAGCTCACATACCCCACGCTCCCCAAAAACTCGACAATGCAACACGTAATGAATGGCACAGTGCATTTTAAATACACAGTATAATTCAAAAAGGGGCATTACTTGCAAAAAATCATCACATCAAAACTTCTTGCATATAAGGACATTCAAATCTTTGTATGTTAAAAATTTAATTGGTCTGAAGTTTCTAGATAAATAATGGAATCAAAATGTCTTGGAAAGATACGAATCTATACTTTACAATGTATGTCTGAAATACCTACAAAGTTTCAAGAAATTCAGTGCAGGAGTTATGCTGACAAACTGTTATTTAAATTCCTCAGTGATTTCGATTTGTTAATGAGTGTAAGTCCATGTCCAACACATGACAATTTACACATTTAAATAATTGATGGAAACAAAATTATGATGTAGTCATTTGAATTTGTTTATATACTGTACTTATGAAATTATTTAAGGCAAAGCACCAATTTGAAGGGGGTGGGGGGGGTGAGAACTATCCAAGATTTTGTGTGTGTGTGTGTTAAATCATTAATATTTTGATCTCAAAATCAATAGAGGTCTTTTAAGGTCATAAAATATTTCACATAAAATTTCATTACAAAAGCCGATTCCATTGGATTTCCTTATTACCTAGCTGGAAAGTTTCTTCAATAATAGGCAAAACTCTTAGGGCATAAATAATGGAATCGGAATTTCCTGGTAATATGCACATCTACACACTGCGTACTAGATATCTGCAAAGTTTGACGAAATTCTGTGCAGCGGTTTAAGAGGAGTTGCACTGACAAACTGTTCATCTCTATATTCAAGATATGTCCAAGAATCTAAGTTGAAAAGTGCCGAAATTCCTAGAAAAATAATGGAATCAGAATTTCCTGGTAATATGCACATCTACACACTGCGTACTAGATATCTGCAAAGTTTGACGAAATTCTGTGCAGCGGTTTAAGAGGAGTTGCACTGACAAACTGTTCATCTCTATATTCAAGATATGTCCAAGAATCTAAGTTGAAAAGTGCCGAAATTCCTAGAAAAATAATGGAATCAGAATTTCCTGGTAATATGCACATCTACACACTGTGTACTAAATATCTGCAAAGTGACGAAATTCTGTGCAGCGGTTTAAGAGGAGTTGCACTGACAAACTGTTCATCTCTATATTCAAGATATGTCCAAGAATCTAAGTTGAAAAGTGCCGAAATTCCTAGAAAAATAATGGAATCAGAATTTCCTGGTAATATGCACATCTACACACTGTGTACTAAATATCTGCAAAGTGACGAAATTCTGTGCAGCGGTTTAAGAGGAGTTGCGCTGACAAACTGTTCATCTCTATATTCAAGATATGTCCAAGAATCTAAGTTGAAAAGTGCCGAAATTCCTAGAAAAATAATGGAATCAGAATTTCCTGGTAATATGCACATCTACACATTGTGTCCTAAATATCTGCAAAGTTTGACGAAATTCTGAGCAGCGGTTTATGAGGAGTTGCGCTGACAAAAAATCAGGACTGACGGGTCAAAAACATTATACCCTCCCCCGGCAACTTGTTGCGTGGGGTATAATAAATCGCCACGAATCAAAAGATCCATAAAATGGTTCTTTTTAGCAAGTTCCAAATTAAGTCAAATGTCGTGAAGTTAGTTAACACGTTCAAGAAATGAGACAAAAAGGAAAATTTTTAGATGGAAGAAATTGTATCAATAAAATAGATCTTGACACTGGTATCAGGGTACATTGTTTTCCCTTATTAACACTAATTGATCAAAGCGTATTTAAGCCATTATAAATAAAAGCAGGTTCGTCACATGACTTCAAATTCATTTCTGAGTCATATACGATCGACGTCATAAGTAGTCGACGAATTCATTTCTTACGATAACAACATACAGTGCAGGAAACTAATTTTGTTACAGCATCAATGCTGATTTGAATGCTTCCTTTGCTTGCTGATTTGAATGCTTCCTTTGCTTGCTGATTTAATGCTAGTAATCCTTATCCTGATGCTATTTTATAATTAGGTCAATGCTACCGGAAGTAGCATCATGCTACCAGAAGTAGATAATGAATTTCAGCATTGCCGTTTAAAGCAATAAAAGTGCCTTTTACAATTATTTGATCATAATATCTCACTATGTATCAATAATGTGAATACTTTAACCAATATTCTTTCTTTCTTTTTTAATTTTTTACTGAATTCAAACTCATTGATTTTCTGATGCTAGTAGGATAATGCTGATTTTATGTAGGTCAATGCTGGTTTTATCCTTTGCTTGCTGATGCTGATCCTGGTAATGCTGTTTTTTAAATGCTGATCCTGATGCTAGCTCAATCCTGATGCTACTAATGCTTATGCTGATGCTGGTTTATGTAACAAAATTAGTTCCCTGCACTGTATCCCTTCTTAATAGATTTTAACAGAGGTTTTCAGAACGATCTAAATCTGATTGGTATTTAAAATTTGAAAGTATTATAGATTGTCTATCTCGTGTATTCTACATGTAAAATTTTTCTTTCATGATAGAACACTTCCTTCATTCCGGTATCTGACCATTGATAATTTCTTAAGAAACAGGGAAATGGGTGTAAAAAAGTTTATGTAATATTCTTTCCCTTGTCTTGGTGTATTGATTATCGAGTGGTGTCAGAAAAAACTTCAAGGAAATGAAAAAAAAAAGTTCAACAGTTCCTACGTACTTTATCACCTTTGAACTGTACTAGTATGTTGTCTCCCGTTTTGTAAGTTTTGATTTTGATTGTACGTCCCATTCGAGAATTTTTCACTCGTATAGAAACGTCACCATATACTGCTGAAAGTCCTTTACTCGGCACTATTGAGCATTGAGGAATCTTTATCGTGCCGACACTTGCCATGACACGTGACCTCAGTTTTTAACATCTCATCCGAATGACCCACAGCTTTCACTTCAAAGAGCCGAGCGCTTGGCGAAGGAAAGTTGCTAGCCACTAGTATTTTTTTATCGACTTCTATGGTCAGTCGCGGCCGGGATTTAAACCCATGTCCTTCTGATCACTGAGCAAGCGCTCTACCGACTGAGCTACCGTGACAGTTTTTGATATCGATTTTTTTTTTTACATCGATTCCAAATTGCCGGGTTCTTAATGATGATTTTGACGATGATGAAATACGTTGCAATTGTCAAGCCAATGCTGCACTTTGTATTCCTTCTACAGACCAGACTTACAAAGAAAGGTAGTGCATGGGAAAGTAAACATCCTTGGCGCACCCTAGTCCAGTGGCACGGTAAAAGTTCCATCAGGATTTCACCCTGGACCACTTGACGTCAATCCTTCGCGTCGTAGCAATGAATAATGAAACAAATATGAAAGAATTCGAGAATCTTTCAGAGCATGATGGTCACGAAAATCTTTCAAAGATTTGCCTCACAAAATGAATGTTCCGAGATATTCCATAATGTTTATTTTTTACTAATCTGTCACTTCATATGTTTCTAAAATTTAAACACCACTCGCGAAATAAAATTACTCGCTTTTTTTTATGGTGCTAAAATTAATGCAAATCACTTGATCAACCGTCCACTCGAGAATTATTACTCTCGTGATTTGACGTTAAAGAGACATTTCGCGATGATAAGTACTCGCAAAAAATAAGGAATCTACAGTAAGTCAATAACAAGAGGCCCATGGGCCACATCGCTCATCTGAGCGCACATTGGCTAGGAAAAAAAGCAAAAATCAGTACAGTATTGAAAAGTTTACAGGGAGGGGGGTGTTGAATTTTAAACTACCTGATGATGCTTTCATATCAATATAACAAATGGCTTTGTTGTTCTTGAGCAGCAGATTTTTTTCCCATATATTCACTTATATTTTGTAAAAATTTGATCCCCCATTGTGGCCCCACCCTACCCCCGGGGGCCCTCATTTGAACAAATTTCATTCTACACTACCCAAAGATGCCTCCATATCAATTTGACTAATCATGGCTTTTCTGTTCTTGAGAGAAAGACTTTTTCCTATATATTCCTCTGTAAACTTTGATCACCCATTGTGGTCCCAACCTATCCCCGGGGTAATGATTTGACCAAACTTGAATCTTCACTATCTGAGGATGCTTCCATATAAATATGACCAATCATGGCTTTACTGTTCTTAAGAAGAAGATTTTTAATGATATTTTCCTATATATTTCTATGTAAAACTTTGATCCCCTATTGTGGCCCCACCCTACCCCCGGGGGTTATTATTTGAACAAATTTGAATCTTCACTACCTGAGGATGCTTCCATATAAATATGACCAATCATGGCTTTACTGTTTTTAAGAAGAAGATTTTAGAGATATTTTCCTATATATTTCTATGTAAAACTTTGATCCCTCATTGTGGCCCCAACCTACCCCCGGGGGTTATGATTTGAAAAAATTTGAATCTTCACTACCTGAGGATGCTTCCATATAAATATGACCAATCATGGCTTTGCTGTTCTTAAGAAGAAGATTTTTAAAGATATTTTCCTACATATATCTATGTAAAACTTTGATCCTCCATTGTGGCCCCACCCTACCCCCAGGGGTCATGATTTGAACAAACTTAAATCTACACTACCTGAGGATGCTTCCATAAAAATATGACCAATCATGGCTTTACTGTTCTTAAGAAGAAGATTTTTAAAGATATTTTCCTATATATTTCTATGTAAAACTTGGATCCCCCATTGTGGCCCCACCATACCCCCGGGGGTCATGATTTGAACAAACTTGAATCTACACTACCTGAGGATGTTTTCACATAAGTTTCATCTTTCCTGGCCCAGTGGTTCTTGAGAAGAAGATTTTTAAATGATGCCATTATTTTTTCACTAATTCCTAATTATATCCCCTTGAAAGAGGGCGTGGCCCTTCATTTGAACAAACTTGAATCCCCTTTACCCAAGGATGCTTTGTGGCAAGTTTGGTTGAATTTGGCCCAGTGGTTCTTGAGAAGAAGATGAAAATGTGAAAAGTTTACAACAACAACGACAACGACGACAGACAATGGACAAATTTTGATCAGAAAAGCTCATTTGAGCCTTCGGCTCAGGTGAGCTAAAAATGAAAAAAAAAAACCCTCTAAAATGCAGAAAAATTATCCAATTAAGATGAAAATACCAGGTGCACACCTACATATGGTGAATAATGAGTGTACAAATTTTCAGACAAATCCAAGCAAAAGTCTTCAAGAAAACGTCTGGACAAAATAACATCTACAGAGATGCTGGTTCCAATATACCCCCCCCCCCCAAAAAAAAAACTTCATTTGCGGGGGAGGGGGGGGGGTGTATAGTGTTTCTACATATCAGAGGAATCTTCAACATAGATATGATTCATCATGGCTTTGCTGTTCTTGACAAGAGGAATTTTTGAGACTTTTCTTTATAAAATCCCTGTTGTGGCCCCACCCTACCCTTGGGGTCCATGATCTGAACAATCTACCTCAGGAAGCTTTCACATCAGTTTCAGCCTTTCTGGTCCAATGGTTCTTGAGCAGATTTTTCCTATATATTTCAATGTAAAACTGTGGCCCCACCCTAGCCCATAGGGGTCATGATTTGAACAATGCAGAATCTTCACTACCTTACGAATCTTCAACATTATTTTCAGCTTTACTGGCCTAACGGTTCTCAAAAAGATTTTGAAAGAATTTTACTTTATATTTCAATGTTAAACTTTGATTCCCTATTGGGTCCCACCCTACCCCTGGGGGGGGGGGGGATGATTTGAACAATTTAGAATCCACACTACCATACAAAGCTTCCACACAAGTTTCAGCTTATCTGGCCCAGTGGTTCTTAAGATTATTTTAATGACCCCACCCTATATTTGGATTTTCTTAATTATCTCCCCTTGGAAAGGGGTTTGGCTCTACATTTTAAAAATTTAGAATCCAATTTTCCCAGGGATGCTTTGTACCAACTTCTGGTTAAAATCGACCCGGTGGTTCTCGAGAAGTTGAAAATATGAAAAGTTTACAGACGGGGACAGACACACAATGGACAAAAGCTCATTTGAGCTTTTAGCTAAGGTGAGCTAAAAATATGCATTTTCAACATATGATCATTAGAGACCCCCATCCTACTTCCAGAACACCTGACCCTTGGGCCAAGAATTTCACAATTTTGGTAGAGGGCTAAATGCTCATTAATAAAATCATAGCAACAGTTCAACTTCATGTACTTGATGTCCAGAAGCAAAGATTTTTCGAGATCATACTTATTTTGATTTTTTTGGCCCCACTCTTCAGGCCCCAAGAAGGCAGGGACCATGAAATTCAAAATTTTTGTTCCCCTGCACTCATAGAAATTGGTACAGTGGTTCCAGAGAAGTTGAAAATGATAAAATGTTAATACATGACGGTAAAACAGAAAGCAATAGCTCACCTGAGTGACTTAGGTGATCAAAAAATCAACAGGGATCATCTACTCAGGACTACTCCACTGATTTTAGGTTTTGGCGTTGATGCTGCTTAACTGATTATTCAGAATGGCCCAATCCTAGCATCCAAACAGATTCACCTATGTATTCATGGTGTGGATAGTATTCGGTCAAGTATGCACTCATACCAAGTACAATCCAAATTACTGTACTTTCACCCATTTATGCTTTACACCTAGTTTCTTCCACATTTATTCAAGGGGCTCTAAAGCACTAGTTGAAAAATTCAAAATTCTTTAATCTAAAAAAAATTAGCAGAAACTCTGCCAGGCTCAAATCAGTAACCCCCCACCCCCCACAAAAAAAAACTCGGTATTTAAGTTTATGTGTTATTTAAAAACATTTATTAACATTATTCATTTTATAACAAAAAAATCTGCAATATTGAATAAAACAATGCAAGGTGTTCATGATCCATTTGAAGGCTAAAAAAAAGTACACTGTAGTACAATTTAGCACTATAATATTCTTTTAAAAACCTTTCCATGAACACCTCATTTAGAAAGAAATTTCTGTATAACTGACAATGATCTGACATAAACAACATGCAACAATATAAGAACTGCATTAAAACATTTCATATACATTTAATGTAAAACTTAACTCTAGTGCTGCCTACTATAGAGTACATGTATTGATTGATAAACTCTTGTCAACTTGTAACACTCACATCTTCTTTGAGAAACTGAAAGAGAAAACAGGCATTACCAAACATGATACACAGGGGAAAATTTTTTTTTTTCCCTATACACTGCACATTAGAGCTCTGATTCCATGGTATTTTTATGAAGTTAGAGTGATCTGCCCTTCCTTACATAACATAAATTGAAATATACAGTGTTGACTCAATTTGTAATTCTAACATTTTATTTGACCAGTATAAATTCATTGAACACTTTTTTTTGCATGTATTTTTCCCATTTACATAAGTAACAGTGGTTTTGTTCATCATCAGTTTAACTATGAAGACAGGCTAACAAGGAGTTTTAATAGATACTTAAAAGAATTCCCAACAAGATTTATAATGGAAATATGTTTGTGATTATTTGAAACCTGAATTCTTACTTCTGAAGGTAATCGTTGACACTGTCAAATCCATTTTGTCGAGCCAGATGAATCATGATACCAGTGCAGGATTTTCCCTGCTTCTTGCGACAGAAGCTACAATTACATATTCTCCTGCATGGAGGACACTCCCAGTTCTGCATGACCAAAAAAAATTCAATTGATATTTGCTTGTTTAAATGAACTTTTGCTTTGTACATAATTTCCTATCAAGTATTCCAAACTTTTTCAGAATAATAAACACAGATTTATATGTTCATAAATTCTAAGAACATACATCATTTTTCAGAGCTTCCTTTGCATCTTCTCCATATCTATTTCTAAGGCAGGGACCACAAAACTGAAATAAAAAGTTTTATTGAGATGCTTTAAAAATCTTTAAATGCATTTAATTTGCATAAATGATAAAATGATGGCTTACTAAAGGCCTAAGATTTCAAGATTTTAATACTGTAGTGAAATAAAGTTCTCACAAATACCATAAAAAAGGATTTACATTAATTAGATGCTTGTATAACAGGAACTTCAAGTTATATTTTGTACCACTCCTCTAAATACAGACCACAAAATTAACTTTTCTGAACTTACTTGACCTCTGACACCAAAACAGGACCCTGACCTACAGATAGTTTTCATGTCTGTTGTTTTCTGTCGGCACTGGTGACAAGAAGTTCCCTGTAAAGCAAAATCCAATGTCATCACTAACAGTACCTCTTTACTTCTATCATTTATACTGTAAAATTGTCCAAATTATAAACAGCAAACAAAGGGACCCTTTTACAAAAGAACTTAGAACTAAAACCAACAATTTTAGCTGTTTTCAGCATCTGGCTAACCTAATATTTTTCAAGATGCTGAAAAAAATCTTTCCATTTTTTTTTTTTCAAATTAGATTATTACTTTTTCAGACTAATGTAAAAAAAGAAAATAATAAGCAACTAGAACTGTCCAAAAGGGACAAATACCCCCTGCTGGGTTTTTCAGAGAAGGTACCAAATCACTAATGTTTTCTAGATGTGAGAGGTGTTCACAATTTGCTTAAACATTTAGAGTGAAAATTTAATTACTCATTATATTTTTTTTAATGAATGAAACTAAGGTGCAGCCTAATAAAACATCAAAACTAGTAATTACAGTGTTTTTTATAACATTGAAAAAATAGTTTGCAATTATCTGTCATCTTTGTGAGACATGACACTCTGCAAATTAATTGTTGAAAAAAAATATCATAATTAATTATACAAAATCAAATTGATCTTAATACCTTTATATCAAACTCATTTTAAAAATAAAAGGCTGGTTCCAGTAACTATGTATTTTGACAGACATAAATTACAATTAAGAGACTTAGACAACAGAGATCTTTATTTCTTTTTGCCCAATTCCCAGGAGATATAGATAAGACCTGCTTGATCAGAGATGCCCTAACAGCTTCCCACACTGAACTCATTAATTAGTCTTTAACTGGATGCATGTCCACTCATTACTCCCAAGGGACAAATGGATTTACACTATCTGCTGTGTAATGTAAAAACTGTTTTCAATACTTTATGATTTTTTTTTAGTTCTAATGAGTAGTTTTAAGCTGTAGTTCACATTTTTGTACAGTTGTTCTAAATTCTATGTCTCAAACCTTAGACAAGAACCCGAAATGATTAAGTCAATAAAAATGAAAAAAAAAACACCTGTAAAATGCAGAAAAATTATCAAATAATGTTGAAAATACCAGGTGCACATTTTCATATGGTAAATAATAAGTGTACAAATTTTCATACAAATCTATGCAATAGTCTCTGAGAACAGATCCAGACAAAACCACATAATAAAAATGAAAAAAAACACCTGTAAAATGCAAAATAATTATCCAATCATGATGAAAATACCAGGTGCACACCTTCATATGGCAGAGAATAAGTGTACAAATTTTCAGACAAATCCTTGCAACAGTTTCCAAGAAATGGTCCGGACAAAATCTCGTCTACAGACAGACGGACGGACAAGCTGATTCCAATATACCCCCCCTAAACTTCGTTTGCGGGGGGTATAAAAATATATTGTGGTACTAGTGGTAAGTCCTCTTGTAAAACTGGGCACTGGTCTCGAAGTCATCAAAGTTTAAAATTATTCACTTAAACTTTTTGATGTATTCTCTCTTAAATAAACTAGTTTACACCTACATAAAAGCTGTCATAACGTTTCTCGCTCACAAAGACTGCAACAAGAGCCAGATCATCTTCCGTTATTTCATCAGCAGACCTGGTGTCAATCTGAAAGCTCTTAGTATGGTTGGACTTTGGCAGTTTTTCAACCTGCAAATTAATACAGATATACATGTACCTCTTAACAATAGCTCGTAACTTAAAATTGACAATGCTTTGATTAAACAACAATCAATTCATTACTGAATTTCAGCTAAATCAAAGGCAGCAATATTGGTAAGGTTTGTTTTGGGCATCAGTTACTGAGCTCAGTCATTTTAAGTAATTTAATATTAAATGATACATTCAAGGATTTGTAACTCTTAGAACTATTTACTCTATATTTACATTCAATGTTTTTTCTTTATTGAAACCTACTGAAAATCTAAAACATTCAACCGCCTATACTTGTTCATGGAGCAAGAATTGAATACACAATAGGAACTACATGTAAATAAACTTTCAGTACATAGAAACACTATAATGTGTTGTTTTTTACTCAGTTGAAAACAATTATCCTATTAAATTTTGGTAAAAATATTTATATAATACCCCCCCCCCCCCCCCCCCCCGGGAAATCATTTGCTATATTTAACTTTTCTCTCTCAAAACGGCTCTTCCTTCTATTACCCACACCAGTTTTCTAGGGCTAAATTTATAAGAGATGAACAAAAAGAGTGAGAAAATTAGAAAATGTAATTGAAAGCACTGAATTAATTTCTGGATGTTGTGGCTTGTATATGCCAACAAATAAATATACCAAACGTGCATTATTCAATTTATTGGCACGCCTGGTGTTGTCATACAACTCAGGACCAAAAAAAAAAAAATTATTCAACGCTTAAATGAAAATGTAAAATAACATCAAACTCACAAAATCATCATCAATGTCCCCATTCTCTTCTTCATCATCAGTACCATCTCTTTTAACATTTGTCAATGAAGACTTGTTGAAAAATCCAAAGCGAACTTGTAGCTTCTGGAAAAGAATTATAAGTGCATGGTACATAGACAAAGAAACATTCATTTGTTACATTTACATCATATTTGACCAACCAAAATGCTACTACATCATTACAATAGCAAAGCATGTCCTTACAGTCTAATGATAACACTATCCAAAACGAAACATTAAATTCCTCTTTTTGATTTCTATTTTTCAACTCTGGTCTTTATTTGCCCAAATGTTATAAAATGTGCTTCCAAAAAGTTGCCTTGATATTCCATATTTAGTTATATCTTTTGAATGCATTCCACAATTCCCACCTACTAGACCAGTTCCAGAAATTAAAATCACCTAATAAACTGTTTCAAAGCTAAATATTTTAGTACACGTATTTTACATTAGTTGGAGATGTATCAGAGTCTAAGACTGGATCACTGTGACGACGTTTATCTGGATGAGTAGGTTTTCCACCAATCCGAGCTTTTCTGGAAGGATTGCGTCTAATTGGACCAAGTGGTTCCGACTTTCTGGGTTTGCGTGGTGCCTGAAAAATAAAGTGACAATTTGACATAAGACTTTAGCAGCCTGAAGATCATTGAAATTTTTCTTTAATCCTTAGGTCAATTTATAAAAACATTAGTCTTTAAAATTTTCTTACAACCTCAGTCACATTAATTTGCAATTCAAAGAAATATACATACATACACAAGACTTTGGAGGAAAAGGATTCAATGTACCTTAACAACCTTGTCTCTTGGAACAATTTTTTTCATCTCTGGAAGCCATTTTACATCTGCCATCAATTTCTCCAACTACAAAATTATTGTCCAAGATTGAAATGAAATGGAACTCAATTCCACTCGAAATTTGAAATTTACAGTCAATGTCAAAATTCAAATCTAAAATTAGTACTAAAAAATCTGCTCCACCATCATACTTTGATTACGGCAACAGACGACTAAATGTTCTTCAAACCAGACTACGGCATAATTGCGTATTGAATAGCGATCTTAATAGATGCAATTTAATATCCAGTCTTTTATGCTCGTGTGGTAAAGTTGAGGATACATATCATTATTTTTTTGTATGTCCAAAGTATGAGAAAGCCAGAAAAGAATTTTTAAATAAATTTTTACAATTTGACAAGATCCACATTCTAGATACACGTCTTATTATGGGGGGTAGATTCATTGAATTCTGCAGAAAATGAACGTCTCTTTTCTTTTGTTCAAACATTTATTAAACATTCTGGTAGATTTCCTTGTTAGCATTAATTAATGTATCAGTATATGCATTTGTACAAAATTAAGTGTATCTATATATCAGCAAAATGCATCGACTTGTAAACTTTTGCAAATACTGTATACTTTAAAACTTCATGTTTAACTGTGACAAATGTGTAATTTACATGTAGGGAGAGGGCGTAATAAGTTTTCAGAACTTGTGCCCAATCCCATTGTATTTATAAATTACAATAAAATATGTTCAAACCAAACCAATGAAATAAAATTTTATTTATCAACTAATTTTGTAGAACTTTTTAAAAAGGGAGGCAAAATATGTTTGATTACTTACAATGACTTTGTTGTCTGCCAAATTTTTGGCTCTGAGTTCTTCATAGTCAATCATGATAGTTGATGCTGCTTCTACTGTTCACGCTGAAATAAATTATTGAAATAAAAGCTATCAGCTCTTTGTCTGGTAGTTGCTGATAGAGACTTCACCTGCATGTTTACTTAACTCAATGACACATTACACTTAATACAGTGACAAGTCTTTCCAGTCAAGTTTAAAAGAGATGTTTGTCCACTAATTAGTATTATGAGGCAGTCTTACACCTAGGAAATTGAAAAAGGATTAAGATAAGATGTGATTAAGATAATGTGTTTGCCTAGAGAATCTATATGAATGAACAATGTATCTGTACACTTCTACTTCCTACCATTGTTGTTTTTCTTTTAAGTGTGAATAATTTCCACTTAGTTGCACAGAATAATATAATATATACTTCAATTAAAATTAGATTCCTGGGAAAATACTGGTCAACATTTCAGTTAACCTTTTCATTTACAAGGAGAAGAAAAATTTTAAAATGACAACATAAAGCAAGTCTGTACTTTCATAAAGAAAGGAGTCTTTTGACAAATTATAAGTATATATAAATATTTTTTTGATAAGGCTGGAAGTAAAGTTATGCTTATATTGAAACTTAAGCTTAAAATGAAGCTATGGTAAACCTTCCAAACCATGGAGATACAAGTAATTAAAACAGCTTTACAGGTATACAAGATCTATTCAGAATATTTTGGCACACATTAAAAAAATATGATAACAGTATAATAATTATATAATAATAATTATATAACAGTATATAATTACAAATTTATAGGTTGTGTAACCAACAAACTTTTCTTAAATTGGTTTATTTAAGAATCAGATCTGTTTTGCTTTATCTGATTGGTCAAAGATTTAAACTGTATCACTGTTTACCAATAATATAAAGCGAAACAGATCTGCGAACTCCAAAACCTCCTTCAAAGCACTCAATGGAGAAAATTTTATATATCTGATTAATAAATCTTCCGAAAGCGGCATATAAAACACTAATGATGGGGTTTAGGATAAAGAGACCAATAGAAAAACATCTCCCTGACAGAGTGGTTGCAAAATTATGTTAGGTAACACTGTTATTATCTTGGAAATATGTTTCAAAGCAGGGAACCCCCCGTTTGTTTACAAATTTTGTTTCTTAACTTGTAGTCTCCTCTCATCTATGTGCAAAACTTGTAAACCATCAGTTCTTGTATAAATTTCTGACAATTTGTTTTATTTTAATTACCTTATATGAAATTTTATTTAAAAATTCCTCTTTTTCCCTAAACTAAAAATTCCTGTTTTCCTAAACTGCACATTCAACAAGTCAGTGACGTCATACACAATCTGTTAGTACAGCAAGATCATACTTGGTGAATACACGGGTGGTATCATCATGTAAAAACAGATCATAATCAGTATATGATGAAATATTTTGAGAAATAGGGAACAAAAAAAATAATTTTTGCATGGCTGATGACAGGAATCTTATGTAGGTATATCTTATTTTGCTTATTTAGTTTACATGTGACATCATAGTTGGTTTTCCCGTACTCAAGAAATGTAAACATATGACACATTTTTGTCATGGTTATGTCTTCTTTAATGATGTCCTGTAAAATATTGAGGTCAGCTTCACCATTTTTATATTTTTATAGTTAATCAATAATATGAAGAACTTTTATTTCAATGTAAATTTTAAAATATTGAATGATTGAATTTTTTGCAAATTAAGTTTTTTGTTGGTTGTCTTATAAAGTATGTTATTTTCCCTATCCAGATGCAGTGTGACAGAAGAAACTTGCTTTTTTCGAATTTTAAACTCTATTCATACTTTGAAATATTTTAAAAGATACATATCCACTTACATATTTTTTATCTATGCTTAAAAAATCCCATTATGGACAGAGTAATGGGCCAGGAAACATGGAGAATATTAAAACTCCACTACTGTAGGGCATATAGTATTTGTCAATCAATATTTCTAAAATAAGGTAAGAAACCTAATGATATAACTGCTTTAAGATATGTGGGGCATACTTAATTAGAAATACACAAAATATGAAAAAAATTGAAAGACAAGTATTTTTTTCAACTCAACACTGCTCAAGGTCCTTCTTCCCCTTATATAAATACAGTCGTTTTACCAGTAACGAATATTTGCTAGTATCGAATATTTTTTAATCTAATTATTCTTGACAAACATAGTGCATAGTGACAGGTTTAAAAATTTCTTACTAGGTAAATACAATAAAAGGATGAATATTCTATCCCTGTGTTGTGTCTATGTAACATCTGCATGATTATTTTTCACACTGTTTACAATTTGAAACAATGACCCAGATTTGAGCACGCACAAGTGCAAGTCAGAGAAAACGAAAGTGTGTGAACAAATGCGTCTAAATCAAACTTTTCAGTGTGTTGTTGATATAGATTGAGTATGTTCTCAATCTCTAAGATAACTGTAACAAGTTTAAATATTAAATTGAACAATAACCCAGATAGCATGACTACGTTGGCCCAACGTTGGCTAATGGTTGGACCGTTGGCCGATGGTTGGCGTTGGGTGCACAACGTTGGCCCAACGTTGGGCCAATGTCAACATAACACTATTTTACACAGAAGCCGAGGTTGGTTGGGGACACACCGTTGGCCCAACGTTGGGCCACTGTTGTTAGATTGTCACCACTAAGTTGACGGAGTTTGTTGGGAGTACATTGTTGGCCCAACGTTGGACCAACATTGTGAATTACGTCCCTATTTTGATACATTTTGTTGGGTAGACAACGTTGAGCCAACGTTGGGGTGAAGTCAGAATTCGAGGTACATGGTGAAGTGTTCGTTATAAAATCGGACAAAGAGAGAGAGAGAGAGAGAGAGAGAGAGAGAGAGAGAGTAAAAGATAAAAAATAGTTAATTATATGTATTTAATGTTACATATACCGTGTGTTCTTAATAAGCATGCATGGTGATGTATCAAGTTATTTAACGTAAAATATGTTTAAATCTTTAAACGGAATAAATTAAATGTTTTTGAGAATCACATAAAGCTTTATTCAATTATGCATAAATCTAAATAACTTGCAGGTAAAAAAAAAAATAAAATAAAAATATAAGACGAACACACTATATAAAGACTCCCATTACATATTTTTTTCTAAAGTGTTGGATTTAGGGAGCATATTCCAAGATAAGAGCACATTTTCTGACCAAGCAATTAGGACAGGGGTTTTAACAGCGTGAGACTGGCCAGTTTCTATGGTAATTGTGATATCTGATAGGACGGGATGGTCAAATCTGCATCTTTTTAGCACATCCAACATTTTAATCACGGATGTTACCTACAGAAGAACGTTGAAGGTGTTATGTAAAAAAAGAAAGCTTTGAAATGTGTGTTCTTTGTGTGGATTTTTAGAGCTGTGTCAAGACATTTCACATATACAGAAATGTAAGTACCATTTACCTCAAATTATTTCAGATTTTAATGCACAAAATGCAAAGTTTGTTTATCTAAATATGCCAAATGCAATCTTTATCTTTTTTCTAAGCTTGCCTAAGTTTAATGTAACTAGTTCAGTTGCTAATCACTGTGCCTTTTCTGCATGATGTATAAATCATAAAATAAAACATATCATTGTTAACATTAAAATCTAATTTGTATACGGTTAACAGCTCTTAAGCTTAATTTTTGAAAAATGGTAAATTAAGTGCATCAACCGTGACTCTAACAAAGGAAAATAGATAATCACGTCCACATTCCAACTACATTTGTATTCATAAATTTTATTTTTTTGAATATCTTTGAACGTTTGGCTGTGCCAGGTTCATAATCATTTAGACATCTATAAAATTCTGTCATATTTTCTTCCAAATGTTCAGAAAATTAAGAAATCAAAGAGTTATTACTTGGTGCTTTAATGGAAAGCAAATCTCTTCTTTTATATAGATTAAAATTCTCGTTCTATTTAATTGGTGGAAATAACTCGGCGAATAAAGAGGAGAGTATTTGCTGCCATGTTCTCTAACAAAATTGCAAGGAATTCCATTGGATGGGCAAATGAGGAAAACCAGCTTTTCCAAAGATGATGGGGATTTAAAAAAGTAAGTAATAAAAATACGTGCTCAGTCCCCCCCCCCCCCCCCCCCAAATGCTATAGTCGTACATTGCTATTAAATATAGAAAAATATAATAATATTACTAATTTAAAAAAAGAATACAAAATAATTAAAATATCCATTGTATTAATAGTTTCTAATGCAAGGAATAAGTTACTATGAATTTGTATAAAGTACGACTTTACTTTTAGTTTTCAGCATTTCTCCTTATTTTGAGATTTGTTAAATGGATTTAACATTTATTTAAAGGAGCTGTTCGAACTAACTGCTTGTGTGCCAAATAAATTCCTATGGAAATTAGCAATTCCACTGCATGTGATCATGAAGGAAGAATGAGAACAGACAGGGAAAGAAAGAAGGAAATGCGTTCAAAAATGAAACAGAGGAGAGTGATTGGTTATAAACCTGTTAATGAGTGAATTTGCGAAAAAAGTGTATATAGTAACAATAAGTGGAAAAGTTTGGAAATTAATTCTAGATACACATTTTAATTTTAAAAAAGGGCAAAATTATTTATTGTTTTAATTATATTCAAAATACATTTGTTATTTTATACTTTCATTTGCTTAATTCCCTTGTGTAGAAACAATTAATCCCATCACTAATAATTTATATTGTTCTGATTAAATATAAGAAGTTAAACAAGCCTGATATTATTTTTTATTTATTTTAGCTAACTTGTATTTTCAAGCATAGGATTGGAGGTAGATTTTTTTCTGATTGTAGAGATGATGGGATTAGTTCATATGCAGATTTGTAACAATTTAATGTGTCCTGTGTATGACTACACATTAGGCCAATGTTGGTCCAATATATCGGGCCAACATTGGACCGATGAGCAGACTGACATTGGGCCAATGTCATTTGCCAACATTGGCCCAATGTAATTAATGACGTTGGACCAACATTGACCCAATGTCGCATTCATTGGGCCAATGTTGGCTCAATGTTGGACCAATATCTGTAGAATCACACTTTACATTGGGCCATCGTTGGCCCAACATATCGGGCCAACATTGGGCCGATGAGCAAACTTACATTGGGCCAATGTCATTTGCCAACATTGGCCCAATGTAAACGATGACGTTGGCCCAACGTTGGCCCAATGTTAGCTTGCTATCTGGGAATTGACTTTTAAATGAAATTATAAGATCCAAACTAACCATGTGTTGTTTTCCTAGTTTCAAATCATGAATTTTCGAAGTTTGAAAAATATCGTTTTACGGGATGCAAGAACATGAAAAGCTCACAAAAGTGAAAATACTACCAAAATAAATTGCAAGCAAAGATATTCTATGAAAATTATGTCTCTGAGATGGTTGATTTAATTTTGTTAAAGCATATCACGAAAAGTTTATCATAAAATGCAAAATTTTTCACTGTTTAGATTTAGAAAAAAAATCATTTAAATCAACAAGTTATGTTAATATACTTTTTGTAGAATTTTCTTGAAGGCATATTTCAACAATAATTTAGACCCGCCGATTTTATTTATTGGGTCAGCAATAGTAGAGTGTGATCAATTCGATACTGAAAAATCAGTTCGAAACTAGGAAAATGGGGGATGTTGTAATTGACATCTCTGTGTCTGTACCATTCATATTTTTGGGAAATTTGGTACCACTTATTTGAAAAGCATAGAAATATAATTTAAATAACAACCAAGAACATTTGGAACTTCGACCATGTAGGTTGCGTGCAAGACAATAACAACAAACCGATTCGTTACCGGTAAAACGACTGTATGTATCTCGAAGGATGATGCATACTTTTACTTCATGCATTACATGGACGATGCAGACATGTTGATTAAAAGCCGATGAATGAAAACCTTGAATAATTCTTCTAAAATACTTACACAGACAATCACCGGTATGTTGAGAACATGTGCTTCTAACTTCTTCAGATTTTCCCGCCACCAGCAGAGGGCGCTCTACCGTTTACTTAGAAACAACTTGTACGTGAGATTAGTCGTGCTTCTGACTAATTTTTTATACTTCAGCTATATACAATTATTTTTTCTTTTGAGTATTCAAACTGTTTAATGTCCTAGATAATACTCCCTTTATAAAAACAAATATATTATCATTAAATGGTGAATCTTGTACATCTACACTTGGTAGAGTCCACTACAGCTAACAAACTTATGAATTCACACTTATTGTTAAAATTATAAGTGGTTTTTAATTTTTGTAGTTTTTAAATGCGTAATCAACTTGTTGGGTATAACAAATCACATTTATAACCAATCAAATTGGTTCCTCGCACCTTGCTCTATGTACCGGTAATTTACTGTTTTGAAGCCTTTTGAATATAGATAGAATGTTCTGTTGCTAAAATGATATTGTATTGTCCAACAAACCCGGGTGAGGACTGGTTCCAAGACATGGTTAGATTATTCTAACTAGAATAAATACTACTAGTATTCTCCTCAGGGTCTCTACCCTTTAATTAAATAAAATTAAAATATCTTTATTAATTCTAATTCATTTGTTATTTAAGTGAAATCATGACAGTAGGAAGACCAGCATTCAAAAAAAAAAATTGCTTCCTGACATAAAAGTGGATGTTTCACCAATCCAAAATGCTCTTCAACCAGTGGAGCTACACATGGGAAATGTAAGATCTAAGTACACAAGTTCAGAGTCAACAAATACACTGTAATTTTATTATATTCATTCATTTTGTCAACACTAGCTAAATTTTCTAAAATTGAAAAAAAAAAATAAATAACATGCTTTACTGGATGCAATTGAACCAATGATAAATTTTATTATCCTGCAGGTAACATTTTTCATGAAAATTCAATGATCAGTATATTGCACTTTTTTTTAATAGTTGGTTTTATTTCTACTGTAGCCACTGCTGATGTGTATCTTCAATACTGTGGAAACATCATTGTTCGTGGGAGACCAATGTTTGTGGATTTCATGGGTCCCTCTTACCCCCAAATTTACATCCCCATGATTGTTTATTTTGTAAACATATTGATTTATTGAATCTACTGTATAAACCAATAACCCACCAAATTAGGCCCCCACCAACAAGTAAAATATTGCTTGCCTATAAACATTGACCCATACAAATTAAAACGATTCCACAGTATCTCAAAAGGTTGCCAGCAACATCACTTTTAATTTACTATTATAACTGGCTGGATAAAACCAGAATTCTATTTTATTGTATTCAAAGGAAGAAGGACATGCAAGTCTTGATGTAAAGATACACATTATTTATCATTTGTGTCAAATAACAAGATAACCAACAGTACATGAAAGAAAAGCTTTACTGATATCATTTTCTACGTTGATTTGATTCCTCTGCTAACTGCTGAGCATAAGCTTCCCTGATACATTTAAATGCTTGTAAATTAGCAAAAGGTGTCTGTGTCACTGGATCATAGTATTTAGCAGGTAACTTAGTAACTGGGCAAAATTGTTTATGAGGAATTTTCGCTTTTCGCTGCGAGAAATATTCACGGTAGTTTCTCTCATCTGTGAACGTAATAAATGTCCTTGAACACTTTTCATTTTCATCCAATTTTCTCTGTGGTTCAGCACTGAAAATATAAGCATATAAAGCAAGAAATTCATTTACATTTGTACAGAAATTTAATGTATAAAATTTCAAACATACTTTCCGTATCAATATTTTTAGATAGAGTATGTGTAATTATTTTAGCAGGATTCACATTTTAATTATCATCATATGTCCCATGTTTGACTTCTTCATAATCACCAAATATAAATTGTATATGATAAATATAATGGTAAATACCGGTAATGCTAATTCATGACTATTGTCCATGATTGCTAAATTTAATATCACATACAATATTCCAACAGATTCAAGTTGAACATTTTAACTCTGCAGGTTGAGATTAAAGAAATATGAGTATTAAATGACGTCATCCTAACTTTACTATAATCTCCCAAGGGGGGGGGGGGGGGGGGGCAACATGGCCAACGGAGAAGAGTGGTAAATGTGAAAAGCTTGCAAATGAATGAAAGACGAACATGGGCAATATCAGTTTAGAAAAGCTCATTCGACCCAATGGCTCAGGTAAGCAAAAAATCATAGGTTCCTTCACTTTAATTATAACCAACTATTCCCCAGGTCCAGTACAATCAGTACATTTAGCTACATAGCTAAAATTACCTACTGTAGCTTTATTTACCTACCTCAGGTAGCTTTATTTAGCTATTTCAAGGCAACTTTTCACAATTTTGCTTTTTATTAGTCGCAAGTAAATGTCTACTAATATTTATTCTAGGTATTATTTAAAAAGCAATCTAAAGCAGAGATACTTTTAACATTGCTGCATTTGAACACTTTAAAGGAAAATATGTATTTCCATTGTTTGAGTAACTGTACACCACCTTGTGTGCGATGAGGCGTGGATAAGTATGATTACTTCACATTGTGCTCATGTTAACCAAAACTGGTTTTCTCTGTTATTTCACTCAAGAAGTAACTGTTAGGTCACAAATTAACTGTTGTATATAGCCCCAAAACTTTTAGAACTTTGATTGCAATTGCGCAGAAAAAGACACATCTCCAAGAGTGATTTTTTCATGAATTGTTTTCAGATGAGTTCAAAGTTGAAAATTATCACTTCAGAAAAGTGCAATTTTCAGCACTTTCTGGGAAAAATGCTAATTTAAGAAATAAGTTTGATTTAGTAGCTAAAAAAAGCTATTCAGGTAGGTAAATAAAGCTATGTAGGTAATTCAAGTTACGTAGCTAAATCTAGTGATTGTACCAGACCTGTTCCCTACACAAAGAGACAAAATCATTACTGACATTTCTCCTAAAATAAGTATACTAGTATAGCCAATTAAAAATTAGACTATCTTTCCTACCTAGTCTAGTCTTTTTCACTTGAGACAAATATAAGACATCAGAGTCATTCAGAGATTTACCTGTCATCATCCACGCTGATTTCTGGCTCCGGGGGAAGCTCCTCAATCAGGGGCATAGTCATGGAATGATATCGGATGATTGGACCTCGATGCATTTGTTTCTGAATACGATTTTTCTTTTTTTCCAGTTCCATTCTTTGGTAATTTTCTGCAAATTTCATCATCAAGTCTTAATCTTGCTGAAGACAGTATTTTTTTCACTGGTTTATTTTGGTTAATTCCTTTATGCCAATTATAAAACACAAATCTGCTTAATCTTTAGGACCTTCTTAATCTAAAATTCAGTATCTCAAGCTTTGCCCTCAATTGATTTTTCTTCTGGAAAAAATTTTTTTTTGAACAAAATTACCTCAGATGCCTACTTTTACCATGAACAATTTTCTTTATTCTTTATAAAGCTTATTCACCTATATTCCTCCTATTCCAACTTAAAAATTAGACTCTTTCAGAGACTTCAGATTCTTTAGACTCACCCAGAGATTTTAGATTCTCCTCCTCTGTAATTTTTGCCTCCTCCAGTAGTTCCTCCTGAGTTAACCTCCTGACCTCTGACACTCGCTTCTGAGCAGCCATTTCCTTCAGCATTTTGGCTCTAGCCTCCCGCTGCTTGTCTCTCTGTTCCCTGGCTTTGGACTTTTCTGATGTTGTGTTTCTAAGTTTCTTCTTTTCTATTCACAATAATAAGCATTATAAAAGGAACTGTCAAGGAATATCTCACCCCCTTGTTATGAATATGAAATACCCCCCAAATTATTATTCCTACCTGGTGTGTGATAAATTTGTACTTTTGAAACTTTCTCTGTTCTGGGTTTGGGTTTTTTATCTTCAGTTTTTTTCTTTGTAGGTGGTTCCTATAACAAGATTTATGTATGTACATGTTATTCCTAAAATAAATTATACCTTTATGCCACAAAAATTTTATATTGTTTGCAAGGTAGTAAATGAAGACTTATGGCTTATGTTGTTTAAATCTTAACTGTTTGAATGAAAATATATTGAATAAAATAAATTTTATCTCTGATGACTGTTTGGAAAAAATACAAGGGGCATTTCAAAAGTTCTGCCAACTGGTATGTAAAATTTTAACTACGTTACGGATTAAAATGACTCTGATACCACTGTAAAGCTTAGGCAAATATGCATTAGTAGTGATGTCATTTTACATTCAAAATGACCTATAGGTCTGCTAAAATGACATCATAATTAGGTATACTCTGTATACTGGGCGTAAAAATGACTGATAAGGAGAACAATTTTTTTTTTTTGAGTAAAGAGCGTATTGCAAAATTCGCTCATTGCTTGGCTTTACGGCAACAGAAATAAAAGCCGATTTAGATGTAGTATATAGAGAGCATGCTCTTTCATATCGAGCATTAGCAAGATGGGTAGTTCAATTTAAAGAGGGTAGAAAATCAATTGAAGATGACCCCCGTTTGGGGCCTCCAGTTTGTGCATATGGCGAAAAAGAAATCATCGCTGTTCAAAATACGATAGCTGATGATGCTAGATATACAGTTGAGGAAATAGCAGACTTAACTAAAATTAATTCCTGAGCAGTTTTTTGTATTTCAAAGGAAAACTTAAAGCTTAGGAAAGTCTGTGCTAGATGGGTGCCGCATCTTCTCTCGAAAGAGCAAAAGCGCATCCGGGAGGAAATGGCTTCACAGTTACTAACAATTTATGAAGATTGTGACCAAAGGCGAATAAATGAGATTGTAACTGGTGATGAAACATGGATATATTTTTTTGAACCGGAAACTAAGCTCAATAATAAAGTTTGGATCGGTGAAAATGATACAAGGCCTCAAATTGCACGCAGAAACCGGTCTGTCCGGAGAGTAATGTACGCCTTATTTTTTTATTCTAAAGGCCCTGTTGCTCAAGTTCCGGTTCCAGAACACAGCAGTGTTACTGGTCAATTTTATGCAAAGAATGTCTTGTCCCAGGTTGTAGAGCACTATAAAACGACCCGACCAACAACC